CTGAATTAGGTTTCCATAAGGAAATGTTCATTTCTGCTTGGCTGAATTTAGTTTCCATACGGTAATCTTTAATTCCGCCCAGCTGAATTAGATTTCCATTAAGAAATCCACAATTCCGCCCAGCTGAATTTGGTTTTCATGAAGAAATTCACAAATTCCCCTTGCTGAATTTGGTTCCCCTTTGAAAATCTGCATTCTATTTAAGCTTAAAACGTTCTTTTGTTATTAAAATACACCTTTTATCTTAAAAATTAAAAATAAATCAGTTTGACTTACCTTTTTCATTTGGATAAACATTTAATTGTTCGTCATCGCGGGCGACTTGTGTGATTATTGATGTTGCATCCATTTAAGCATAAATTGTTTAACCAAAAAGATCAGCAAAAAAGAAAATGGGAACGCAAAAATTATTTTGTTCAGATGCGAATGGTGTTCGGGATTCCAGAAAAAACAGCAGGACGTCGTTTTGGGTCGAAAATAATTTTTTTATGAGTCGATGAAATTTTTATGATTTAACAAAAATTAATATTTTTTGCCGGCAAAAATCACTTTATAAACTTTTTTTATAAAAAATATTCTATTTAAAATAATTTCAATAGCACTGATATTTATTTTCTTTTAACAAAACGAAATGCTTTCACTTTTAAGAAGATCTGAAAAGAGAGGGGAAAGAAAAAAAATTTAAATTAGTGATAAGGGAAAAATAATCGAAAATTAAAAAATAAATTGAAATATCAAAAAACAATTCAATTTCGCCAAGCTGTATAGGAAATAAATTCTTAAAAATCGAATTTTCCCAATGTTAACCTAATTCAGCTAGGCTAAATTGAAGATTTTCAAATGGAAACCTAATTCAGCTAATCAAAATATGATATTTGCTAAAAGAAAACTAATTCAGCTAGTCTAAAAAAAATATTTCCTAACACAAACCTAATTCAGCTAGGCTAAATTGAAGATTTCCTAATGAAAACCTAATTCAGCTAGGCTAAATTGAAGGTTTCCTAATGGAATCCTAAATCAGCTAGGCTAAATTGAAGATTTCCTATCGGAAACCTAATTCAGCTAGGCTAAAATGAAGATTTCCTATCGTAAACCTAATTCAGCTAGGCTAAAATGAAGATTTCCTAAGGGAAACCTAATTCAGCTAGGCTAAATTGAAGATTTCCTAACGGAAACCTAATTCAGCTAGGCTAAATTGAATATTTTCCAAGAAGATTTCCTAAAAGTAACCTAATTCAGCTTGGCTAAAATGCAGATTTAGTACCGCACACAGAACTCAGATGGGCTTTATGGTACATTTTCAATTTAAACTTGAATTCAGCTACGCTGAATTGCATATTTCCTAATAAAAACCTAATTCAGCGAGAGCTTAATTGCAACTTTTCTGCCAAAACTCATATTCAGCTGAAGATTTCCTTAAGGAAAATTAATTCAGCTATGCTGAATTGAAGATTTGTTATAGCAACTGCCATTTAGCAGGGCGGAATTGTAGATTTCGTGTTGGAAACCTAATTCAGCTATGCTGTAAGCAGCTAAGCTAAGCTGAAATTAAAATTTCGCATTAAAAACCAAATTTAGCGGAGTTTAATTGAATATCTCCTACGGAAACTAAAATTCGGCTGAGCTGAATTGAATATTTCATAATGAAAACCTAATTCAGCTAGTCTAAATTTAAGATTTCGTATAGAAAGTCTAATTCAGGGCCAATTTGTTGATTTCGTCATTTAAACTGCTAATTCAGCAAAGCTGAATTGCAGATTTTCTTATGGAAACCCAAGTTCGGCAGACTAAATGAACATACTATATAGAAACTCTTATTCATCTGGGCAGAATTGTATATTTCGTAGTGGTAACCTAATTCAGCTAGGCCGATTTGAAGATTTTATAATAAAAACCTAATTCAACTATCCTAAATTTAAGATTTCGCGTAAACACTATTATTCATATGGAGGGAGTTGTAAATTTCATGATGTAAACCAAATTCAGCTGAGCTGAATTGAATATTTTATACTAAAAACTTAATTCAGCTTGTCTATATTGAATATTTCCTATAGAAAATCCTATTCAGCTGGGCAAATTGTTGATTTCGTCATTTAAACCTAATTCAGCTAAGCTGAATTGCAGATTTCTTTGTAAAAACCAAATTCAGCTTAGCAAAATTGCAGATTTCTAATGGAAGTCTAATTCATCAGGGCTAAATTTAAAAATTTTATTCAATTCAGCGGAGTTGAGTTGCAGATTTTCCAATTAAAAATTAAATTTTGAATTTGTATATTTTTGGGCGTTTTCTTAAAGTCACATAAAATGTTTCACGAAAATCTCAAAAACCGGCTTTGCGGATTTGAGAACCGGTCCTTTGTGCTAAGACCAAATCTTAAGCCAGCCACCCAGTTATGATTCATATTTTTTTTTGTGATAAGCGTTAATCTGAATGGCTGACAAGTGGTGCAAGAAAAAAAGGTTAATGCTATACTGGTTTTTTGCTTTACTTTTTTAATTAATATTTTTTTGTTGTATTAAATTCTCTGCTAATTGCCTCCTAATTTTCTTTTAATTATCAAAATATTTGCAAAAATTAATTTTCCCTTCAATAGAATAATAAAAAAATATATGGGATTGTTCAATATAATACGAAATTAATTTCATTTCATGATTGCACAGCAAACAATCAAACAAACACAGGCATTCACACACCACATCCTCATACACATTCCTCCTCATCCTCGCCATCATCATCATCAACAATTTTAATGAACACACACAGATACTCCGCACACTTGCACACACAAACACGCACACGCCATCACGCAGATAAGAATTTATTTTTCAATTCTTCGCCTTTGTTTTATGCTTACCTATCTATTTTTTTGCTTTGCTTTCTTATATTATCTTTCGTTTGTATTTTTTCTTCTTCTCCTTCTTCTTTTTCTATTTTCTTTTGTTATAAAAAGCAGAAATATTTTTTTCCTTGTTGGTTCACTACTGGATTGATTTTCTTTTCAATTTCAATTGAATTGAATTTATTTTTGCACACACACTCAGCAGACACACAGAAGAAAATCGTTGAAAATAAAATCTAAATTAAAATTTTTGTGGAATCCGAAAGAAAAGAAACCGAAAAAAACGCACACAAAATGCAAATAAATGACTGAAAAAAACTCAAAAGAATTTTTAATGAACTGCTGTTGTTGGGATGGTTGGTTGAAGAGAAGCTGTGTTTGGTGTTTTTTTTTTTTATTCCGACTGCATTTTTTCCTTATTCCGTTTTGGATTATTTTGTTATTCTTTGTGTGTTTTGCTTGGTTATTTACTAGACGTAATTGGTTGTTGTTCTCTCTCACTCTCTCAGCACTCTTTTTCTTTGTTGTTTTTATTTTTACTTTATTTTTCTGCCTTTCTTATGGACGTCAAAAAATACTGGTTCCACACACACACACAAACTTACAGGGAATTTATCTGTTTCACAAAATTCGTTTTTTTCTTCCAATTTTGTTTTGTTTACGCGCAACAGTCAGAGTCTGGCTGGCTGGTATTTTTTTTCGCTTCGGTGTTTTATATAGCTTGCTATGCTATATATATATGTACTTTTTTCGTATAAATTCTTCGTTTATTTTTTTTAGATTTGCAAATTTCTCGTTTTACCCACACACACGCACGCCACTTTCAAGTGAACTCTGAATGAATGCCACCAAAACGAATGAACGAACGTTCCGTTAAAAAACAAATTCGAAATAATTAAACAAAATAATTATTTTTCTTTCACGATTCTTGCTTTACTTCGTATTATTTGTCGTTTCAATTCATTTCTTGCGTTTCGATTCATCCGCGACCATTAATTCATTGTCATTATTGTACGGCGGCAGCAGACTGACTGAATTCAGGGATAAACAAGTCGAGTTTGGTGTATGTGAGTGAGAGAGAGAAGGAAGGAAATAATTGCATGGAATTTGGCAGCATTGTGACAGTGTGTGTTGTTGCCTCATTCACAATTGGCATTTGGTAATGTATTGGCAGCACTGTTTACTGTGCATAAGTGCAACTGGCATTACTGTTGTTTGCCTTCTCTTTGCTGATTTTATAGTAAATAACAATGTATTTTAATAAAACGCATGACGTGTGGATTTGTGGATTTGTTTTTAATTATTTATTGATTATGAGTTTATTTGTCGTTTCTCTGCTGCTGCTGTGTGATAGGGATAACTAGATCGATATTTGAGTTATCGATAAATGGTAATAAAAATAACTATTTGTAAATAATCATTTTCTTTGCATTTCTGATAAATAAACAAGACATTTTAATAAATCGCGTTGTGCGTTTACACTATAACAATATATTATCTCGATCTTTTATTTAATTGTTTAAAGTATTTATTAATTTCTTCGTGGATATATTAAATTGCTATGGTTTCTCATTCTTCATGGTTGAGTGATAGGGTTATATAATTCGTTATTTGACTTCTATGAGTATAATGAGTTTAAAGCAACATCTGTTTTAAACGTCATTTACATTAGAACTTTTTACCGGGTTAACCTGTTTTATGAGGATTTATTTGACATATATGCTTATATGCGAGTCATTTGAAATGATATTTGTTTTGAATTTCTAATAAATAAACAACGCATTTTAATAAATCGTGTGGCATGTTTACAACATAAACATAAAATATATCGATTTATTACATATATTTTCGTAATAATTTGGAATATAGGATATCAGTGTGGGAAAGAGTATGCCGAGATAGTCTTGGAGTGGAGGGAGCTTTCATAGACCAACTGAAGCAAGGAGTATTTTTAGACAAGTTAAAGAAGGAAGACTTTTTTGACGTCCTGAAGCAAGGAGTCTTTATAGAGAACGTAAACCTAGTCTTAGTAGAAATAATCCAATAATTCCTCCAATGTTAATCCACAAACTAGTTCAAAATCCCTTGTTTTTTCCTTCACTTTTTATTTCATCTTAACAAAAAAAAAACAAATACATTATATCTCTCAATCAACAAAAATTATGCCTCAACTTGTTTTGCAGCCCCTTGGGCCTTTGCCTTCGCATCTTCAGCTATTAAATCTTTTAGAATATCCTTTTTCGATTCGAAATAATCACGATACCACAAAATGTGATCCTTTTTCTCCTTTGCCGTTAGATAAGGATTCTTCGAAAGACCAACACATACCAATTCCATAAAATGACGGATGGGACCACGTGTCGGACACCAACCCTCTAAATGCTGTTCCAAAAAGATATGTTCAGAGAAGTCAACATCCTTTTCCGCGGTCCAATCCTGTTCATTGTCAATAGGGAAACGCCATACTTTACCCTGTTCCGTCCACAAGGCAATTTTATCGAAATAGTTATTGGGGGGATGGCTTACTTGAAGCTTTAGCGACTGTTCTTGCAAATACGACCAAGTGGGTAAGAGGTCAGTGGATTCCTTAAGTTGTGCGGGTTCGGTGAAAATACCCAAAGGTTCACCGCCAAAGAGGTTTACACTTCCTGTGTAAGTGGCTGCCTCACGGGGTCGTTGCACGGGACGTTTATCCTTGGCATTGCCATCTTTGCGATATTGTTGCTTTTGACTACCCTTGGCCGCAATGGAACGACGAACGTATTCACTGCGTGTTGGTGCGGAATCTTTTTGATTTTGACGACGATCAATTTTCATGCCAACAATTAAATCACTTAAGCTAACATCGGATTCGGGAGAGGTTTTCGATTTTTCACCAGCATCCCCAGCACCAGCATCGCCGGTGGTTGGTTTGCCACCACCCAACAATTTGGACAATAATTCCGATTCGGTTTGCTGCTTGTTTTCCTCGCCTAACAGTGAAGCTACCCTCTTGGCAGCCGAGAAAATATCTTTCGATTCAGCTTGCTGCTTAACTTGCAGTTTCTTTTTCTTATTTGCATCACCGGGTTTGGGTACAACATCATAGTTTTTATTCAAATTCATGTGATCTTCAGTTTGCATGGATGCCAGCAAACGATTTAATTTTGCTGAGGCCGATTCATCAGCGGCAGCTGGGGCTGGCGTTTCGGGGGATTTCTCCTTTTTGGGTTTTTGGGATTTTTTCAGTTCCTTTTCATCATCTGAAGAATCATAGTCACGACTATAGTTACGATTACCGGCCAGGAAACGTGCAGCTAGGTTCCTGCAAATATTAACAAAAATGTCAATTATTTTAATGAAAATTATTAAATCCATTGGGTTACCTTATGGCCAGCTCTTGGGTTTTACGTAAATATAACATTTTTATTGAATTTTATTCACAAAAAATTGTTATAAAAAATTATATCCCCCAATTACATGAATCCATGCGAAATTAGGGATCTAAAAGTCCATTTTGGCCGTTGGCATATAACAGCTGTTTTTGTTTCTGCATGTCTGCTTTAGTTAGTGTCAACGTAACGTAAGGACAATTTTAATTAAATTTTTCAACAAATCAACATTTTTTAATAAATAATAATAAATGAATATAATAAATAATTTATTTCATTTATTTTTAATTAAATTTAGGGATTATATGGATTTTTAGTATGTCAGGAAGTCCCCATAGAGGAGTTGAAGCAGTGAGGATTTATAGGTTAGCTGATGCAGGGAGACTTTATAGACGAGCTAAAACAGGGATTCTCTATATTTTTTCTATGAAATATTTTTTAAAAAATCCTTCACAAGTTTTTTAAGTTTCAAGTTGTGGTTAAGCTTTGAAGATAATTTTAAAATAATTTAAGCGTAGATGGACCTTCAAAAATAATTTCTTTAAAAAAGCTTTCAGCAAAAGACCTCATCAAATTATTTTTTTAACTCATACCAAAGGACCTTTGAACAAATCACTTTAAATTCAATAATTTGTTTAACTTTGTTTTTTTTATTTTTCAAAATATAAAATATATATAATTGTGAATATGTATTTTTTTAGTGCGATTTAATTATATATATTGTGTTTACATATATAAATTATATGTACTAAAGATATAAAATAATGGGGGTATGGGAGAGATGTAAAACGATAAATAACCTACCCGTCATAGACACAGGGTAGGATATGCAAAAAAAAATGGAATAAGGCAAAACATAATCAATAAGAATTAAAAGGCAAATTAATTTTTTAGTAAATAGTTTTTAAAATTATTTACCAAGCGATATGAGAGTGAAATGCAGCGCAAAAATTAGGATGCAAATAAGAAGGCAGGTTATTAAAAGTTACGAGTATGTGAGAGAGACAGGAATACAAGAGAAATACAAATATTGTCATTTTGTTTTCGATTAAAATAATAAAATACGTTTCTCCACGGTCTTGCGGCAAATTGGGCAGCCATCGATTTGATCGCCACAATTCTGGCAGGTGCCATGGCCGCAAAGGAAAACCATATTTTTCATGCGATCAAAGCAAACAGGGCACATTGTCTGAAAGGAAGAGAGGCAAATGAATATTTAAAATTTATAAATAATTTTTTGATTTCCATCATACCTGCTCCTTAATGTCCTGCAGCTGTTGTTTCAATTTTTGTACATCATCTTGGAAATTATTGACATTAGAGGGTGCCATCAGAACACTATTGGCATTATTATTGGCCGCCAATATATTATTTTGTGATTGCACCTGGCCACCAAGGCCATTTGGTGTGGTGGACACGGTGTTATTCATGGCCACACCATGACCAGAAGTATTAATGCCACTGGCCAACATAGTTTGCGGCTTTTCATTTTCATGATGAATATTGTGATTTTGGACCTGCAAAAACAAAGAACACTAAATTAGAAGATTTGCCTGCGGAATTTTTCAATTCAAATTAAAATCTCACCTTTTCAATGCTTCCCTCGCCACCACAACACAACGAATAGGGCATCATTTCCTCAATTTGTGTACGACACAGAACACATTTCTTCATGAGACTGGAACAATTGGCACAGGCCACCATATGGCCACAGGGTTTAAAGAATACCGAAGCTCTGCGATCCGAGCAGACCAAGCACTCATCGATTTTTTCGCGTGAGGCCACAGCTTCACGACAAATAAGGCATTTCTTGACGCGTGGGGCACAATTATCGCAGCAACAGACATGGCCGCAGGGCTGAAATTGGAAATTTAATTAACCCCTTATTATCGTATTTAAAAATTCCTTTCCCTCTCTTACCTTAAAGACCGTATCACGTTTATAATCCGAACATAGGAAGCATTCATCTAATGTGGAAGCATTATTGGTGGCATCATTTGCATTCGATGAGGAGGAGGACGCTGCAAAGTTGAGGGATTGCGACAAATCTTGTGGCATTGTATTGAGACCACCGCCAGTAACACCTCCTGCTGCAACAGCTGCCGCCCCATTTGAACCTGCTGCTGCCACCACATGTAAAGGCAAATTGGTGGAAGAAGAAGCATGAATACTACCAGCGCCACCAACACCACCCACCATACTATCAACCGCCGACAATGGCCTGCTGCTGGCAGCCCTTGCCCTTGAGCTGGTTCCCGCCACATTACCCGGCAATTCGGAATCATCCGTTTTCCGTTCATTATAACACTTAACCAATGTCTTACAGAGATTCGGATCGGGACACAAATCTAAGGGTGTCTGCAATTTACGATTCTTCAAAGTCAAATCCGCTCCATTGGCGGCCAAAAAGCAAGCAATCGATGCCGAAGCCTTTTTATTATTCGGATTGCGAAGACCCATCAGCAATTTACCAAATCCTTCAACATCCTGCAATTGTTTGAGTTGAGATAGGGTGTGGTGACGCAGCGCTTCATGCAGCGGCGTATCACCATCTTTATCGGGAATGTTCAGATTGGCTCCTTCCTGAACCAACAGCTTGACAATTTGTACATGTTGTCTTTCGACGGCCAAATGCAGGGCCGTTTGTAGATTTACATTCTGCCGATCCATATTTGCCTTGCCACTGTGCACCAGTAGTTCGGCAATTTCGACATGATTATTGAGGGCTGCCAAATGCAAAGCTGTATAGCCATCGTCTTTTTTCTCTTCCACAATCCAAGGGCGATTGGTTTTGGTTAGTAAGATCTTCATGGCGCTGGGGTTGCCCTTCAAGGAGGCATGGTGTAGGGCATTAAAACCATTGTTATTGGTCAGGGTTATATCAGCTCCATAGTCCAACAGCAGACTTAACATTTCATCATTTTCCTTGGAAATGGCATCATGCAGGGGTGTATCACCCTCAGAATCCTGCAGACTGGGATGCGAACCCAAACTCAGCAATGTCTTCACCACATTCAGGTGGCCCTTGTTGACGGCAATGTGCAGGGCGGTTTGTCTACGCTTGTTGCGGGCATTCAAATCCGCCCCCGCCTTAGAGAGTAATTCAATCACCGCCGGTTCATCACCAAAGGCGGCATGGTGTACTGCCCTATCACCATCCTTGTCTTCAATTTCCACATCAACATTGTGACGTAGCAAAACTTGTATGACATCAATGTGGCCATTTTGACTGGCCGCTTGGAGGGCTGTGTGGCCAGCAAATACCCCGTTAACATCGGCAATTGTACTACCCGCCGATCCCGAGCTACTGCCACCAGTAGCACCACCGCCATTTTGGGACCCAGCCAGAGATGAAGTACTGCTGGCATTTTGTATATTCCCAGTGAGATATTCCTCGCAACGTGCGGCATAACCATTAGCGGCGGCTTTGACAAATTCCTCAGTGGCATCTCCCGAAACACTGGGTTCGAAAAGTTTCTTCAATATGGCCGATAGACGTTCTCCGCTTGAGATGACCGGTACACAGCTACCATCAGCAGCATTCGCGGAAGCTACCTTGGTAACAGCCAACGGGTTATAGGTCCAAGAGGTGTTGCCCACTTCCACCTTCAAATCATTGTCATGATATACTTGCTGCACCCGTCCCACTTTACCCAAGGTCAATTGCATTGCATCAGCCCATTCTCCATGGCCACGTTGTAACTGTTTGATGCTCTCCACATCGGAACAGATTTTGACAATATCACCCACTTGGAATTCGGGTGGGGCAGCACTGGGTGATGATACCTTGGTGAGTACGGCTGGATTGAAAGTCCAACGATTACCGGAATTATAGCCAACGACAATATCATGGTCTTCATCAATGCCCACCACCATGCCCACATTGTTGAGGCATTCAAACATGCCATCAGTCCAGCCGCCATGACCGTGCTGCAAAGATTGCACAATTTCCAAGTCCAAATCAACAGTGACTTTGTCACCAATTTGAAAGCCGTGGGGTCCCTTGCCAGGGCCATTTTCTCCCAACAACGGTAAGTGGTCACGATACACGGTATTGCCTTTGGCATCATTAACAACCTGCAGAGGGGAAGAAGGGGAAGAGGTAAATAAAAATAAACGAATGAATTTCTGTTTTCAACCTACCTTCAAATCCGCCATACCCTCAAAGCCCACACGATACAAATTCTTTGCACCATTATCCCAGACCACATAGGCCGCGGAACGTGGTGAGGCCGAGGACCAATCTTGCACTTCATTCACTTTACCTCTGCGACCAACACCACCATCTTGATCCTCCCACTGCCAATCGACACCACGTACCACTCTTGCTCCAGGGAAAATACCCCGCACAGCTACCTTTTTAGATTTTCGCCTTGGCTCCAACATGGTACGTTCGCCACCCGGTGTTGAAATACGATAGAAACGATGTCGCAAATGATGTTTATCACCATGATAACATATTGAACAGAGGTCATAGTTTACACACTCTGCACATTTCCAGCGGATGCCAAAAATCGGTTGTTGACGACAGGTATCACACATGGTGCCATCATGTTTAATGCCCGTCGGAGCACTGTCCAATATGCGTAAATCGTAAGCGCCGGCGCAACGATAATTCGCAGCCGTACCATTGTCCCACACGACGACCACCTCTTCGGATGATTCGAAATTGCGAACGGTGCCAACGTGGCCCTCACCGCCATCCTGGGAAAATAGAAAAGAGAAATATGAATTATTTTTATTTTTATTACTTGTGAGAGGAAGTCGAAGTCGGGCCATGACCGGAAATCCATTAATATGCATTTTTTCTGTTCGATTTGAAGTCACTGAATTAGGGTGTTTACCCATTCGATGTTGAGATCATAACCATAGTTATTGAGTTTTAATGGGTGTACCTGTGTGTGTTCGTTGTTCCCAACCAGGCAATAAATTCAATTATATTCAATCAGTCGAATGAATGGTCGTCGGTCGTCACACACAACAAGATGTGTCACCCCACCAAAAGGTCAATAGGCGGCAATAACCAATATTTTTCTGTATGACAATGTTTGAAATTAAAGTGGTACTCACCTGTTTACCCCATTTCCAGTCGGGACCACGTATAACTCTGGCTCCAACACCTTCCATGGCAAAACGTGACTGTCGATTTACAATATTTCCATTTGCAGCAGCAGCACTACCACCGGCTGTTTGTGTTTGGCCGCCCCTGGCCGATGCTGTGCCATGGGCTGTTGCCACAACGCCCGTTGCTCCTCCCACGGCACCCGTAACAGCTGCAGCACCACTACCACTTATTGATGAAGAAGAGGCTGCCGTAACTCCACCGCCGCCACCCGCACCCACAACAGATGATGATGAACTGCCACCAGCTACTGACAAACTAGTATTTGCTCCAGTGCCAACATCCTTACCAGCAGCGGATGCTGCACCACAATCCATTAAGTTAATATTTAATTGTTATTCGGAATTCAATTGCAAACGTTGACAATGTAACAAGAAAAAAATCGGAGTTTTCTTCGGAGGTTTTTTTTACAACACAAAAAAACACGATTTTGTAATTGTGTGTGCGTCGTTTACAGCAAGTACGTGTATGTGTGTGCGTAATGAAATGCAATTGGTTTCTTTTGTAAAATATGAAAAGATTTGTCTCTGGAAAATTCCCTTTGTTTTATGGCAAATATTCACACTTTTTTAATTTTCTTTATGTTCTTCTTAATTAGTTTATTTAGTATCTGATATTTCTCGCAAGGAAGCTATTAATTGGAATTGTTTTATTCGAAGAAATGCTATGATTTGTGAAATTCCTACTGAGAAACTTTTTTCCTGTTCGTTCCTGCCAGCTATGAGTGTCCGACTGAAGAAAACTTATTGAAAAACGTTCCACCTGCTAACGAATGGGAGGAGAAGGCAAGACATGGCAGATAAAGATGAACTCAAAGTGGAATAAACGAAAATTTACGAATGAGGTGGGATGGAGACACACAGAGCAGCTGCAATCAGAGAACCGAGCCAATGTTAATGTGTGACGGCGTTGCTATATGCATGTTGACAACGCAGAAGTTTGCTGACGTAAAACGACAATTTAAAAATTAAAATTGGGGTTTGGAATGTAATTGATAAGAAATCTTACAAATTAAATTGTATTATTCGGTAAAAGTCGAAAATTACGTATCTCTAATTCTTTCTGAGAATTTTTTTCTGTTCGTTCTTGCCAGTTAAGAGTTTCAAGTCGTACTAAATAGCTTAAATAACGGCGGCAGGCAATTTATATAAATTGAGACAATAATAACGGCTTCTAAAAACGGCGTCAACTTCAATTCCTATGGCGTTGTAATGTGATAAGCCCTCAATGACAGCTGTTCTCTCTGAGATAATATGTTGTCAATGATTTAGGATGGCAAAGAATAATTAATTAAAGTAATAATAAATAAAATATATATCAGAATAAGAATAATAAACAATAGGACAAATAAATAAGGAATAGAAATAATAAAAAAATCTATAAATAGAAAAAATAATAACGCCTTCTTGAAACGGCGGCAACTTCAATTCGTATGGCGTTGTTATATGTTAAACTCTCAATGACAGCTGTTCTCTCTGAGAATGTTTTTTTCTCTGTTGGGAGTTTATTTGCCAAGCAGATAATAAAATAAATATTAAATAATTAATATAATAACATGTAATAAAATTAATTATTATTGTGTTGTGTCAGCTGACAGCTGTTCTCTCTGGAGATGTTGCTTTTCTGTGGAAATTTTTATAATTTTTAATTAATTAGTAATTAATTGTAACAATATATAATATTCAAAAGTAAATAATAAGAGTTTGGAAAATAATAATTATTATTTAATGGAGTTAATTACTTGATATTACACTGAGCGATATTCTTTCTATTTGAAAACTAATTTTTTGTCAAACGTTAATAATATAATCGAATTATTTACACTTGACAGAAAAAGTATTCGTACACATTAATGAACTTATTCAACATAGACTAATATAATAAATATTTTTCATAAAAATATACAGCATTTTAAATTATTACCCCGCCCATAGCTCGTCTATGGAGACTTCCTGCTCCAGCTCATATATAGTCTTCTTAACTCTCAAAGGTATAAAACTACCACTTCAATTTGTTTTGCCAAAAAAATTAACCGATTTTGTTTTCTTTTCATTTGAATTTATTGTAAAGAATAAATTTGTTCAGTAGCGTCCCTTAAGAAATCAACTTAAGGGACATATTTAATAAAAAAAAATAAACATTTACTTAATATCGTAATGACTGGATATTTAACAAGCACACGGAAACAACAAAAATGTCTAGGTAAAGTTTGATATATTCTAATCGTTTAGTTCGAACATTTTTAAACAGCTTTTGCTTGGAAATATTTATCATCGATGAAACGACAAAATTGTACCAGTGACTTGAATTTTTGTACACTTTGTGCTAATGCCATATTGGGTAGATTGATTGTAAGTACCGAAAATAAATGACCAAAAACAATGGCATCCAATTCACACGGTTGTTCGCCATAGAAGAATGGACCATCTCGCTCCTTTAGTTTCAGATCAAGTGTCTCACAACATTTCTCCACCTTTTCCATGACATCTTCGATTTCCATATTATCCCATTGATAAACTTGCAACAGCTTCTTGGCTTGACGTTTCTTTGAGGCATTCTGGATTTTGTTCAATGGCCAGGGGAAAACACAACCATTGCGTGGCGCCGTCACTTCTGTATACACGCGATCAACCATAAAACTAATATAAATTTCAGCCATAGTGAATATGTTTTCCGTCAACGAGACATAAGTACGCATTTCCGATTTTTCATCTTCATCCAGCCACTGGCCAATGGCTGTGCTTTGATGTTCAACAAAGTTAACAATCGGTTCGAATTCGGCAAATACAAATTGCCCAACTTGTAGGACCGGCAATTTGGTCATACGACCACCCGGAGACATAAATTCCGCATTGGCACACGATCTCACTTCGAAGGGAAGGTTGCACATCTTAAGGTAGGCCTTTACAGCTAAACAGCTGGAATTTTCATACAACAAAATCTGTTCGGCCTCGTAGGGTTGATACAGCGTTGGCAGGGGATTTTCTGGCCATGGTTCGCTCATTTTCTCCTTGGTATTATATTCGATAAGTACTTGTGATTTCTGCATTTATTATTATTTTGAAATTTTGTGTTAAATTTATTAAATTGTATCTATCGTGTCTATTTTGATCAGAATGCTTACACAATTTTTGTTCTCACGCACTACAGCCCACTAGACTCTCTTTGCTTTGCCAGTCTGTTGTTGTTTTTCGAAATATGACAAATAAATGACGTGAGCTCCAGAATAAATAATAACATAGTTGCCAATGTGAGAGACTTGTTGATAGGTATAGTACATGCAACAGGGTGGTTCATATAATACAGAAAACTATAACGTTTGATAAAATCTACACTAGTAGGTGTTGTAGAAATATTTTTATAAAAAATCATAGGATATTCATTCAAAAATATTCAAAAAATCAGGATTAGTTGACATTTCGATAAAATATTAATTTTTATCCATTAAAATAATATTTTTACAGTCTGTTGTTGTTTTCCGAAATATGACATAAATATATGATAAAAGCAGAGTTGCCAATGTAAGAGACTTCGTAATAGGTACAGTACATACAACAGGGTGTTTCATATAGTTTAAGAATCAATTTATAAACCCATATGTAAACAAATATTGAAAAAACACGGTTGTTAGCTTAAAAAAATATTTTTTTACTTAGAAATATTAAAAAAATTACTTCTCTCATTAATATTCTTTGTTAAAAAAAATTAAAAAATTCCAATCACTTACCAGTATTTAACGAAAATCCGATTTTTTGCTAATCTTTCAAAAAATATTAAGTAAATTACTAGCTTCAGAAAAAAATATATTTAGAGAAAAAAATTAAATATTTAAAAAAATTGTTTTTGCAAAATAGTCAGGCTAAATCCCAGTTTGTTGTTTTTATAAAAAAATTGGTAAATCATTGATAAAAATTCTGTTACTAGTTTTTGAAAAAATATTTTAAAAAATCCATGATGATTGAAAAAATATTAAAAAAGGCGTGGATTTCTGAGTTTGGAAAATTTGAATATTGAAAAATGCTCCCTAATTTTTTTTAAATATTCTTCCTTACCAAAATAAAAAAACGACAAAATTTTCAAATAATACAAAATGCACATGTAAATCATTTACTTATTACTACATTTTTACAAAAAATAATAGGAAATAAACATGGTACAATTATACCATTATTATACCATGGGAAATAAAATTCGTACTTTTTTCAAAAAAAAAAAAAAAGAAAATCAAAAAGAAGTTACAAGACTACAATTACCCCAAAACAAAACATATATATGTACGTACAACTAAACATGATTAGATTATGAAAAAAGGCATCTCTCTAATCGCAGTGTACCGTAATCTTATCAAATCGTTTACTATATACTTTTACACAAAATAAAAGTAAGCCATTTGTTTAAATAATCACCATCAACATCTTGTTTTTTAGCATCTTGCACTTTCATTATTTATGTATGTAGGCATGCATCATTTTAAACACACACACATTTTTTTAAATATTTCCCTTTACATAATTTCTAAACTGGAATCACTATTTTTGGTAACAACTTCTGTTTCCGATGAGCCCGAACCGGAACCCACATCATCGGCCTTTTCATTATCATCCGATTGACTATCTTTGTGGCGACGCAAATGATGCGGTGACGACGATGATAGCTGCCAGGCCGGTATGGAAGCTGGACCGGCCGTTACCAGGGGTGAGGCAAATTGTTTGCGATTCAACAATAAACCCTTAATAGCCTCTAAATCACTTTTGAATTGATTAAATTCGCGCATAAATTGCTGAGTCTGATCACGTTGTTCACGGGCCAGAGACTCCTTGACTTGAGTCAGTTCCGTTTTCACTTCACCAATGCGGGTATCAACTTTACGATCAATATCCGCCAAAGTTTCGTCTGTGGATTTCTTTTTCTTGGAGCCGAAAAGAAAGGGCTCGAGGAATTTCTGGCAAACAAAAATAACAACAGTGATAAATATTTAGTTAATTGAAAATGTAAACAAACGGAGCTACCTTCCAAAATGCATATATGGCATAGGCCACACCACCCAACAAAGCCATGGAATGCAGAAATTCTTTAATGCGTCCCAATGTTGTGGGCCGGTTGGGCTGCAGCGCCAATTGCGCATGTGTCTGGGTGGCATTTATGCCCATATTAATAACCGTTGGGGCATTGGGATCATGGCTAAAGACCCCGGCCCTTTCACAGGCAATTTGTATTTCTTTTTCTGTAAGACCTTTGGACCGTAGAAATTGTTGTTTCTGCAGCAATGTAGTGTGTCGTACTTTGGCATTTTGTAGGAAGTTAATAGCAGTTGTTATCTAGAAAACAGATTAACAAAAAAACAAAGCAGATTAATGTTAGATAAACCTGCCTAATCATGAGAAGACAACCCTCTAGAAGTTACTCACCAATGGCTCACGTATTGGCATGGAATCATTAATTCCAGCACTGCCAGCTTCATGGCTACCACCACCTTCCACAGTTATAACGCTAACTGTAGTATCTCCGGTATCGGTATTGTTGGACATATTCAGTTCTACTGCAATTTTAATTTTTGTCTACTGCTTGAGAGATGGCACAAAAACAAAACAACTAACTTTTCGTTGAGTCTTCTTATCTCTTGACTTAATTTTATTTCTTGTTGTATTTTCTTTTTTGCTAATTGTTCGTTAGTTTTCTACTAAGTCTCTTCCTCTTCTCCTGCTGCTGTTTTCTTCTTAATGGAACAACAACAACAATACTGCCTAAACACTGACAACTGCATGAAGTTAGCAGCATTGCTAAAAACTCGATAACATTGTTCATAATATTACAGGGTGACACCGCGAAATGGAATAGTTTGACATTTAATAGTATTTAGAAAATCGAAAGTATGTGTCCGTGTGTTGTTTTTAATTAAAAGTGGGTATTAACTGATTATTCTCACTACTTTTTAACGTTTCTCGTCTATTTTTACTATAGCTTTTTCATAAATGCAGTGGATTTTCAATGAATCATTTTATAGTGTGCCGCATGAAGAGTAATCATTTCACAGTGAATAGCCATGAACGATACTAGATCATTTTTTCCATTCATGAATCATTTAAATGAACCAGACAATCGAATGTGTGTGTTCGTGTGTTTTTTTAATTTTTTTATTAGAAGTGGGTATTTCCGTGACTCTTGAGCCTATTGAATTCATTTTTATTGCTTTTCTTCAATTGTTATCAACGTTTTTTCATAAATATTGAGGAATTTCTATAAATCATTTTACAGTGTGCAGCATGACATGTAATCATTTCACTGTGAATACCTTTGAACGAAACTAGTTAATTTTGTTCCATTCCTGAATCATTTAAATGAACCACACAGTCGAATGTGTGTGTTTGTGTGTTGTTGTTGCTTGTGTTTAAAAAAAAATTGGCTATTCCCATAACTGTTGAGCCCATTGGATTCCTTTTTTTGATTTTTTGTTAATTATTATAATTTTTGTATCCTACTAATATGTCTAATGTCCGTAATGTTAAACCCCAACCACGTAGATCAATTCACAATAACCAAAATGGAGATATAACCCATATCGTTGAAGGTGAAGATCATCGTTTCGACGAAACACAATTTGGATATGATGATGATGAAGTTGAAGATGACATCGCAGGACCTGAAGTGTATACCGATTCGGCTGGATCAGATTATGACTATGATGACAATGGTGAACACAGAAGCCGTTCATATAGTCGTGATCGTTTTGAAATGTCACGCAGCTGTCCACGGACCCCACCAAGACCTAAACTCTCCGCCAAATATCGATCTACAACACCGGCAACGTTACGAAATGAATCAATGTCTGCAGCATCATCCTCGGCGACATTGTCTGGCAGTATTCCCAATGAATGTCTAACTGATCCGCAAACAAATAATTCGCTATTACGTATGTTTTTCATTGGCATAGCCTTAGTGGTGCTGGTTGCCGCTGCTGCCAGTGCAATTGACTATAATGCCAAGAAAAGTGAACCGACAAAATATTGTTCCTATGCCGAACTTGAAACTGCCTATCCCGAACAAAATCCAAAAATATGGAAAATTTTACGTGTGGGTATTGAAATGATTTTAAATAAGAGGGTAGAGGATCCGGCTGTCTATTTGTTTGTACATCATGGTGATGGCGGCCAGCGTATTGGTAATTTGGTGAAAGATATTGCCATGCATACGTCCAGTTGTTTTGGTTAGTGGGCGGGTTTTTTGGGGTTTAGAAAGAAAAAAATTAAAAATATTTTTTTCAGATAAAAAAAGGCAACCTGTTGAAATGGTCCATGAAGATTTCACCTCAGCCGAGGCCAAGGAGGATTATGGCCGGGCCATAGAAAAGTTTCGTGCAAAAATCCGTAATGGTAATGTCATTTTGATTGCCAATTTGAATGAGGTAATATTTGTTGGGGCTATAAATGGAAATGGGTTTTGAAAAATTCTATTTCTTTTTTTTTTTTTTGCAGATACCACCTGAGGCGGCCAGGGCCTTTCACACAATATGTGATACCCATAGTCCAATAGCCAAGGATCTGGTTATATTTTTAACATTGATTATACCGGAGCATGATGGAAATGGTAGGGGAGATTATTTAAAAAAAATTGAAAAATTTTCTAAATAATTTGTCTTGTTTTTCTACAGCCAAGGTGGAGTCTATCACCGAGGACACCCTCTCCCAGTTGTGGGGTTCAACATTACAGCGCAATGAATTGGATCCCTTGATTACCCGTGTCACCGATCAAGTTATTGCCTTAAAAAATTAAAAATTATTAGCTTTGTAAGTGTTTTAGTATTTTTTTCTATGTCGTTTTATTTATTTTTACCATTTTTTTTTCTCGAAATTTATTATCCTCGGACCTCAGTTATATTTTTTACAAATTGTAATTAAATATTTGTTCTAATTCAAATGGTGTTTTTATAATTTTCTGTTCTTAGGAATGTTTTTTTATTTAAACCCCACAATTTCAGAATTTGGGTTTTGTCATTCACCCATCCACAGAGAGGAAGGGGGAAGGGAGGGAGTTTGGGACAAACTTAAAATAATGGAAGGGGAAAGATAGATCTCATCATTCATTACAAGCAATTAATTTAATAAATTTATCAGATACAGAAATCACAGTTCACTGTGTTTCGCGCCATCTTCTGCAGCTGGCGGTAATGGCGTTGTTTTTGTCGAGGATGCCTCCTCATCATGTTCCAAATTTTCATGATCTTCAATGCGTGCCATCAGCTGCTTAACCTCCGCATCATAATCCTTCCATTCGGGCACAATGCGTTGGGCCGCTGTCAGCTTGGCTTCCTTGGTCATGGGATTGTTACACAAATCAATGACCTTGGCATTTTTAAAGGACCCATCACTACACCATGTCTGACACCACAACCATTCATCGGGCAGCGATTTAATGGCCACCTGATGTATCATATTATTTGGTAAATCCTGATCCAAATTACTCAAACTATTCGGATCCTGGCTAAGGGCCTGATATTGACCTCTCAACCGATCACCGGCTGCAATTTTCCGGAAACGTTTCAAATCGACAACATAGAGGGCAGAAATGTGATAACGCCTTCCCATTAAATGCGACTTCCAATAGCCTTGCTTCCAGAAACGGAAACCTTCCATTTCTTTGCGTGAATCACAGAAGGGTGTGTAGGCATAGGGTGCCCCACCCAAATCCATATCATACAATTCCCTCAGATCGGCCCTTACAATGGCATCAGCATCGACGAAAATGATTTTCCTTACACTCAACGGGAACAAGACATCGAGGAAGAGTATCTTGTAGCCCCATATGGTTCGCTGTTTTTCCGTTTGCTGATGCAACCACCTGGGCCATTTGTATTGCACCAATTCATATTGGAAATTGTATTCCTTGGCCATGTGGGGTAGGAAATCAATGAATTGAGGCGATAGATAGTTTTTCAAGAACCAAAATTTCACCGGTGATTTGGTATGCTTCATGGCCGATACCATCATAATCCTTAGCAAACGTTCATAGAGGTGACCCGAGGCCACGGAAAATATATTTATGGTTTCCGTGTCCTCATCGCTGCTGGAACCCCCACCTCCACCAAATGAGCTGGCAATGGAATTCCAAATACCCGACTGCTGCTGCGAATTATCATCCTCCAAGAGATCATGTTGTGACATTCCCGGCTTTTTGCTCACTCGCATTTTTATCACATGCGATTTCAGCGAACTTATCACCACTTGGGTATTTTCATTCTTGTGCACGGTATTTGGTCCTTCGGCATAGGTTATGTCATAAATATCGGCCGATTTGCCTTCGCGTAGCCTCAATGTCCACACACCGGGATTGGCTTTTAGCTGGAAGTAACCCAAATTTGCCATGACAATGGTGTCGACCATTACCGGATGTTCACGGGTACCCAGGGTAACTTGCAAACCCCTTGGCGGTGCCCCCGAGGTACTATCAAAACAATGACCCTCCAATAGCAAATACTCCAATTCGAATTCACTATGCACCGGCCCATTGATATCGCTCAGCTTAATATTATCCAAATCGTAAACAGATCTCACCACCTCAACCAACCAATTCTCTGGAACTTGTAGATTTTGTGTTAACAACGAGCTGGCCGGGACACCGGTGAATTTGGCAATGGGACCTTCGGCCAATTCTCCGCTGGGTAAGAATTGCACTTCCGGTTCCACCACATACCTATAGAAGTTCTTCACCGGCATATCACTGTGCTGGGTGACGGGAGTCAGAAACACTTTCATGTTACAGTTGATGGTGTTGCGCAGCAGTATCAGAATGGGTGCCAATTTTTGGGCGCTTCTCGATGCCGGATCCACAATGGCATTAATGTCGAAACTTGGCAAATCTTGACGGTGGGGCTTGAGATTCACCACCGAATGGGCACTCTTGGCATCTTCGGGCAATTTAAAACGGGTCTTGGATTGTCGGGGCAACAGCGAGGCATACAACTTCAACAGGGTGTCACTATCGAATTCGCCATCCAATTCATCGGAATTGCTGGTCAAGGCCTTGCGCAACTTATCGCCATATTGGATGCTATTGAATCGATCAATCAGACCAAAATCTTCAATGCCGAACAACTCCCCATCCGCTATGGGACCAATGATTTTTCCATTGCCAATGACCAAACGTTCGGAGCTCTTCAAGTTCAATACTCTTTGGGCATAGACCCGTAAGATTTTCATATGCAATTCTGTGGAGGCGATAAATTCACTCACTGCCTTGGGTATTTCCCATTTGTCCGATGACTGCTTCAGCCATTTCAGCACCACATCTGTGGCTTCTTTGGGCTTCAACGTTTGCTGGGCAGCCCATACCAAACGATTTAGATTATCCTTTCGTGACACATCGGAACCCTCGACATTGGGTATAAAGGCCACGCGAACACTGGAACCCGCCCGCACATACTGCAAAGCATTCTTCAGCAATTCCCGGCCATTGGGTTTCTCCAAATCGCCGAAGAGCCACAGTGTCAGGAAATGCAGTTTACTTTCGCCAATCGACTCAAATGAATGCTTTCCCTCGAAGTATTTGATGTTCTTCAGCAGGGTGGCTGTCATGTCCCGATTCGACAGCAGGGCCAAGGCCTTTACATTGCTTAAATCATTGTGTGGCGTTCCCGTTAGGTCGAGGAACTTGGCATTTTCATTGTTGCCCAAGATGCGTTGATTCAGGCGGGGCATGACATGCGGCTGATTCATGAGATAATCTAAAATCTCCTCGGAGTCGGTGAGGTCGCCGCGATATACCGCCTTCTGCAGTGTAGTTGTTTGTTGTATTATTTCCGAAAAGATGGCCTCTTCGAAATCGCTGTCCGACGATAGGATATTACTAGGCATGGGAACACCATTCAGCAGGGCCTGTGGTGAATCGCCAAAACCCAAACGTTCCACAAATTCTGTGGCCAATTGCCTGCCATAATCATAATCGGAATCTTCGTCCAGTATGGTATCGATGGCCGAGCCAGAAAGCTTTTCGAAGGTCTTCTTCATTTGGGATTTAATGTGCTTGCGTTTAACCGCCTGTTTGGCATCGACATTGGCGAACACATCGGTTAGGAAACTCAAGGCGGAGCGGGCATCTTTCTTTTGGACCAAATAGTTGAAGGCACACGTAATGGCTAAATAGTCCTCTTGACTCTTCTCCTCAGCTTTGCGGGCATCAAACACCAGACCCAGGCGAACCGGGGCCAAATGCAGAACAAACGATTCAGCCAATTTGATAAGGCTACGACTCGATGGCTGTAGCGGATCAACAACCAACACCAAATTGAAGACATTCTTGCGTATGTTCCGCAACATGCCAGGGAATGTGGGCCTCAACAAGTCCATCACACTCGATGGCCACCGGCGATACTGCATATCCTTTTCAATGTCATTTATCCATGATATGGCTGTGTCACGTATATCGATGGCGAATTCCTTCGAACCCGAACCACTAAAATCCAATGCCAACAGGGTTGATGCCAATCGACCCTTCACCTGGCTGTTGTGTAGATTTTCCAAAACCCGCACTTCCGTGCGTAAAGTCTCTATGAGCGAATTCAAATCCATGCTGTCGGCATCGAAGAAGAGGCCATTTATAAACAAGGCACCATCTGGCGGTACAATGTTGAGGCTGCGGCTAAAGATTTCCGTATTATGTTTCACCTCGTCCCTCAGCTGTTGGCTAACCTTGTGGCTGAGCAAAGCCCTGGCCTGCATGGGGAAATTGTGGGCTGTGAATTGTAGAATTTTCAGCGCCTCCTCGCCGTCTATTTCGGCTATGGCTTGGGCTGCCTGTAGACCCAAATCTTGAAATTCCCAGGCCTTAAGTTGGGCAATTTCATCGTTACCCTGCAACAGACTTTGACGTAGTTTATCCAAAGAATGGGCCATGGTGGGGAAACGCTCCTTCAATACACTGAAATCGAAGCCCTGGACTTCCATTTCGCCGGCAGTATTTGCATCATCTTCCGAACTTCCTTCGGCTGGTTTCGGAGCATCATCTTGAGATTTGTATTCGGTGGATTTTAAATGTAATTCAACGCCATAGCCGGATAGACGTACACGTTTACGGGCTTCTCGTTGTTTCGGCGGCAAATAGTGACGGGTTAAATATCTGACATTACCCGATAGGGCCTTGGCCGATAACAGATAATGATATTGGGCGAAGGCGGAAGAGCCCAAGTCACCATACAACACTACGGTGCGAGTATTATTTTCCGAACCTGGATAAATGTGATCGAAGGCATATGTCTCTACCGGAGGAGGAGATGAGGAGTCGGTAGGATGTTCCGCTTTGCTTAGCTTTTGACGCAACTCATCAAAATTGCAAATCAATTCACTGTCCAATTGGGCAAATGTTGTGGCCTCGGGGCACTGGCCTTTGCTGAGAACATCCGAGGCAATTTGAAAATGGGTTTGAATGCGAGGTGTTAGACTATGCATCGATACAACTAGTTTCATTAATGGCAGTTGAATTTCAGTCAAGCCTTTGCGTACCAGTTTCAGGACAGCATTGTAGCTTTGAGATTCCGTATCTAAAAAGGTAAACGATTCGATTAATTAAAAAAATATCTCTTTCAGTAATAATTACCTACCATAACTTGCTAACGGTGTATCCAAATCGGCTGCATCCTTGACAAAATCCCAATATAAATTCGGATTTTCATCGGCCAAATATTCGGCAATTTCCAAATGTAAAGGCGTCTGTTCCCATTTGGCATTAATCAATGTTGTAATGGGATAACTTTTGCTGGTTTTGGTGGTCTCTCCCGCTGCAGCCGCTACCAGCATACAACAGCTAACAACAAGCCAAAGAAATAGGGCCTTGCCAAAGCGGCTCTTTGTACTGTTGATGAATTTGCACATCATTGTTACTTATACGCTATACCTTTTGATTCCAGATTTTAATACATAATTACAGATGACTGTGGAATATTTAAGGGCGGAATTAGAGTTATATATTTAAGGTATTTTGTAATTAATTACTCAACACTACCTTAGCGCTTTTTGGATATAATTTTTTTCGTGTGAAAAACTGATGTGGCACAAAACACGGCAAAAATATACCGCATATATGACTGGGGGTGCAACTTTTCTTTGACGTGTGTCAAGTGGCATTAACTAAAGGCGAGTACACACAATCAATTTGCTGCTGTCAGCTTTTTTATCATTTACTGAAAGACAAATAAACATAAATATTTTAGTGAATAAGTGATGGACATGATTAAACAAGAAAAATTTGGTTTAAAATTGTAATTAAAAGAGTATACCGTCTTAGTTTTGTTGTTTGTTTTTTATTACATTTTTACGTTTTTACCAAAGACTCCATTTGAATGGAATTGCGCCATGACTTATGTAGGGTTATATAGCCATGTGTCAAAAAACGATCTGCATAACCCTACCGCTTTGATGGTAAACATGAAGTGTTCCTTGGAAGGTGGAAATGCTAGAGGTAATTTAATTTGAATAATTTTGCCAAAAATTAAATAAAACCCCCCTCTCTTCCAACAGTCATTGCAAAGGCAATACAATCTTTGGCCAAATTTGGATCAGATTTATATTTGGAAGCCGATCAAAATGGACTACAGTTGCGAACGTTTAATGTCTCGAAATCGGCTATGGGCACATTTCGTTTTAATCGCATTTTCTTTGAACATTTCAATGCCGAGGATGGAAGCTATTGTAAAATCACAATGAAGGCGATATTGGCGGTATTTAAGAATATGAAACAAGTGGAACGTTGTGAAATACGACTGCTAAGCGAACAATCAAAACTGCAGGTTCAGTTTAAATGCCGTCTGGAAACAATGAAAAATGTCCTTATATCCATTGTGGATGAGGAGAATGTTACAGCGGCCGTGTCATTGGAGGATACATCAAATGTGTAAGATAGTTTTCTATAATTTCTTGTGGATCATATTTGATAATTTAATAATTGGCTTGCAGAATTATCGGTTCCTATAAGGTCTTCAATGACATATCGAATAATTTCAATGCTGCCGAGGTGGAAATGACCCTGGAAGCAATGGGTAATGGTTTGACGGCAAAAAATTACATCGAAGGTGCAAGGGTCAATGACAAATTTATGCGTTCCCAATTGAAATTAAGCCCTTCCGAATTCGAAAGCTATAATATCCACGAAGAATCGGCAGTGACATTTAGCCTAAAGGAATTCAGATCATTTTTATCGTTTGCCGAAAGTATTGGTGAATCGTTGACGTTAAATTTTAATGAGGCTGGTGGTCCGATTTTTATTACAATTACAAAACCAGATCTCATTGAGTGTACACTGGTCATGACCACCGTTTACACCGATGATGTTAGCATGTATGAAGAGTGCCGAGAATCTGAGGTCAAAGAAGCCAGTACAAATCGTAGTTTCGCAACCGCGGCAGCCCACAAACGCAAACACAGTACCGCCAAAGTTATGGACAAAGATCGCAGTAGCAAAAAGCGACTATCAGAAGAGACAACACTTAGTAATAATTCAACATTATTTCAATTTAATACAGACCAAAATAACACCACACTACAGTCGGTAGATATGGCAAGAAATCTAACGCTAGAAGATGATCAGGATGATTTACTTTTAGCAGCGGCCGTGGCAGAAGATAATAATGCATTGCTGCATACGAGCAGTTTGCCAACGCTACGAGAGCCTAGTGAAGTCTATGTGACATTTGCCAGTACGGAAACAGATAAAAATAACGATAAACATAAGTCCGATGATGAGGACGATGACGATACAATACCGCAATCACCGCAACGTGAACATGTTCCCAAATTACGTTCAATATTTTCACGATGCTTTGAATCCACGTACATACCCAAAGAACCTTCACCGAATAGTCAGGTATATGTACCAAATTCCGATACTGAAGACTAAATTAATTTAGAAAAATAATTCTTATTTTTAAAAAGAAAATAAATTTGTTGCAGACTTTTAATTATTGCTATTGTTGGGTGGTATTTTGATTTTTGGAATAAAGTTGGCCGTAAAAACGGCATCACTTTTTTCATATAATTTTTTCACGTTATTTTGTGTTTGACTGAGTGTTACCAAAACGGATTGCATTGATAGTTGGGATTTGATTAAAAGCTGATCGGTCGCCAACAATTGTTTCGATGAGGGGGTGACGAGATTTTTCACAAAACCATTTAGACTGCGCCATATATTTATGTTGTTATCAACTAAAAACAAAAATAAAATATTTTTTAAATTTTTCTCTATAGTAATTGTTCAGAACCTACTTAGCTTCCGTTGTAGTAAATTATTAGAATAAATGGTATCTAAATTACTTCGCTGATTATCACTTGCAGCAGCAGCAGCCGCATCCAAACTTTTATCATAAACATCTACCCTCAAAGAAAGTGTTAACAAAATTTTAGTTATATTTCAATAATAATAGTAGCTATTGCACACCTTCATCTGATGAGGTTTCCGAGGCCTCTCCCGGTAATTCCGCAGCCAAAATATTCTATATAAAATAGATACAATTAATTAAATAGTAGATAGAAAGTCATAAACAAGTTTACCTTTTTAAAATTTGGTCCTACACATTCATCCTCAGATTCTGAAGCTTCTCCACGTACAATGTCATTCATGTTAGCCGAAAATTGTATTCAAATTTGTGGAGTTTAAATTGAAGGATCTAACGAACAACTATGAATTTAAATGACAAGAAGGATACAGCGATCTATTCCAAATAAACAAATACCCCTAATACTGGAGCTGGAGGCGACGACACAAATAAAAGCAGCTGTTTCAGTCGATAACTAACTTATCGATAAGCATTGCTTGTGTTAACAGTAAGCGGTGCATGCTTATGCTTCTTCTTATTAGTTTCCTTTTTTACAAATAAATTTGGTAAACGGAAAAGGAGATTTTAAAGAGACTAAAATGCGAATTTAATTAATTGATGAAGAAAAATGTGCGGTTGTTGTATCGCTTTTGTCGACTATTGTGGGGAAATGTCTTCATGTATTGTCTTGTCTACATATCATGCAAGAAGGAAGAAGAAGGATTGGTTATGTTAACAGCCAGCTGAGCATGGTTATGCTTCTTCTTCTTTGTTTTGTTAATTTTCTGTTAGTAATAAACTTTGTCGGCAATTGACAGAAATTTGGCTAAAACGTGAGATTAAATTGATTAAAGGTAATTAAGGAATTAATTTAATAGGAGAATAATTTTTTGAATCGCTCTTGGTCCTTTGGGCTAGATTCTCGTATATGAAATAAATTGACAAAAAATGTGTTCCACAGCTACGCGGAACTCTTGGACTGCGTCCCATTGGCAGATAGGCTACTGATTCGAATCTGATATGTTTTTTAAATCCCAACTTTGAATAACTTCTTCCCGAGGACCAGTTACTTAATTATCATCTTAACATCTTTAAAAAATATATCCGACTTGGATATACATTGGTTCCAACTCAAAGTTCACTAAGGCGGTATGGTTATCACTTCGAAGGCATTGAAGTGCCGATAGAAAAAAAACATTCTATCGAAGTAGTTCACAATAGGTAATTTAAAGGTATATTCTTTAGCATAACCGGTGTTTACATCAGTCCATAGGTTTCCTAAACCTTCTTGTTGTAATCAGTGCGGTTAACGCTATAGGTGGTAAAAAAATTCCAATAGTTCCGAGTTCGGGGCGAATCTTTCATTTTCAGAATCTTATCCCCAGTTATTGCTATTTTTCGTACTCAATAAGCTTTAAGCTTAGATGCATTATTGGCTTTAAGATATTAATTTTATATACCCCCTGAGGGCCCATCACCGATTCACCTCGCCCATTGATTTTTCGAAAATTAAAAAGACAAATTTGTTTCTTCTTATATTGTTTTTATTGGCATTTTGTTATTAAATATAATTGCTTTTCAATTGAAAATCTCCATCTATTTTCATAAAATCATCACAATTTCCGTTTACAGGAGGTTATCTGAAAAGATAAAAAATATCTTGGTTAAAAAAATTTGAGTCAAATTGAGAAAAGAAAAATGTTTAAAATTTGTTTTCAGTTAGAAAATTGGTTACATGGTTTGTTTGTTCAAATGAACTATACTAATAATAAAACATCATGGTGGAAAAAGGTTTCAATAGTCTAAAAGTGAAAAAATATTCAAAATTTACCTTTAATTCCAAGAATGTTGGAGGACAGTCCCACAACGAAGTATTCCACCAAACTTTAATACAGGACATTAGTATTAGCTGTAAGAGAAATGCAAAAGATTACTTAGATTTTTATAAACAATAAGAAATATATAAATTATAAGTAAGGCAATATTAAATGTCAGAATCCTTTTGGTTTAATTTGAATGTGTGATCGTCATAGATTTCATTCAGATTAAAGTTGTCATCATAAACGAGTTAAAAAAAGCAATGATAAAAAAAAGAATTTCAAATTACCTTTTGATTTGGGAAGAGTTTACTGTTTTGGCCACTAGTGTTGTGTGAAAAAGGTATTGCCAAATTCTACGGGAAAAGTTTGCCCCCCTTTGCAGCATTAAATCATTTCAAACTTCTGTCACATCATAATTCTGAAAAAAGAAAAATCAATATTATTTTCAAATCTTTTTTGGCAACTTATAGGTATATTGAAATATATATTTTGTATAAATTTCAGAATCCTTTTGGTTTAATTTGAATGTGTGATCAGCATAGATTTTTTGATCAGATTAAATGTATCATCACATACAAGTTTATTTTTTTAATTAAAATATTTTCAAAATTCCAAATACATACCATTTTATTGGCCGATCATGAGAAGGGCGCTCGGGCGGTAGTCAATATGTATCCGAGTATAGCCACATCTAATTATTCCTAAAATATAAAAAAAGAAACCCGATTTAGTCAACGAAACAAATTTTAAGAAAATAAATTTTCATATAAAAATAGATGTCAGTCATGAAAAATTTACAGCATGATTTTTTAATTTGGGTTCGACTCAGTAGAGGGACCCTGAGATGGGTAAAAATCATCATAATAAAAAAATATATCGATGCCAGTAAAAATATAAATATTCCAAAACACTAACCTTCAATGTGGAAGAATGAACTTCATCCTGCCTCGTCATATTCAGCAGTTTCATTTGTAGTCTGTAAAAGAAAAAAAAATAATTTTAGTACAAATCATTACACATTTAAAAATCATACATATTGTAAAATAATGGTATCAGTTAAAAATGTAACAGCATGGTTTTTAAAAAAGGGTTCGACTCAGTAGAGGGACCCTGAGATGGGATAAATCATCAGTTTAATGTTTTTTTTTAACTGTACGAAGAAAATCTGATAAAAAAACTTACCCTATCTTTGATTGAGATCACATTTTGTTGTTCACGGATTTGGTTTCATTATTTTTCTCGGGACAAGAAGCATCATGTTGCAATCTAAAAAAAAAAATACAAAATATTAATATATTGTCTTTTAACAAGTCTCGTGTCGAAAACACGTGCTTTTTAAAAATCAATTCAGTTGGCCGTTCTTATCTATCGTCAATTTATTGTTATAAAGCATATTTCAATACAAAAATTTAATGTGAAACATTAAAAAATGCAGTTCATTATGCTTTATATTTTTCGGACATGGAACAATCATCAGTTGTCTATGTATTACTAATCAAATTTTTATTTTTTTGTTTAAATTTTTACCTTTTATATTTTTATCTTCCTCCGCGCAGAGCCACACAACCGCACACTTTGAACGACGAATGTAAAAGAACACTTTGTGACGTAAATGTGAAAATCAATGGAAACGACGTGAAGTTGGCTGCAGTTAAAACACTACAACCAGTTGACGCCAGAGAGCGCCATTTTCTCACAATGGTGGTGAATCTTGGAGTGTAGCGTATGGCAACATTGTTTGACACAATTAAATGGTCAATTGTCAATGGTCGTTATTTATAGCACAAATCATTTTTCTTTTTGTATAGTAGTGAAAATTTTTAGGAAAATAATGCAAAATATAAATGATGTAAGATTATTTATCTTTCAAATGACATATTTATAGCATAAACAGAAGAGCAGGTTTTTTTAAACTGTTTTTTTAGATGCATGATTGTATTGGCGGTATCAAGTTCAAACCACACAGAGTTATGTTTGAAATTAGACTACTATGGCGATGAATTTTTTAAAAAAAATTAATAGCACGTGCATTTTTTAACAATATTTTTTTACACAATAAAAAATATATATTTTTTTCAAAAGAATACTTTTTCAAAGGCTAAACAAGGCGTAGATTTTTTAAAGAATATTTTGTCAAAGGCTCAATAAGTCGTGGATTTTTTAAAGAATATTATTTTCAAAAGCTCTATAAGCGTGGATTTTTTAAGAGTACTTTTTAAAGAATATTTTTTTCAAAGGCTCTATAAGGCGTGGATTTTTTAAGAGTATTTTTTAAAGAATATTTTTTTCAAAGGCTCTATAAGGCGTAGATTTTTTAAGAGTATTTTTTAAAGAATATTTTTTTCAAAGAAAGGCGTATTTTTTCAATGGATTGAATTTTTTAAAGAATATTTTTTCAAAGGATGGATTTTTTAAAGAATATTTTTTCAAGGGATGAATTTTTTAAAGAATATTTTTTCAAGGGATGAATTTTTTAAAGATTTTTTTTTCAAGGGATTGATTTTTAAAGAATATTTTTTCAAGGGATTGATTTTTTAAAGAACATTTTTTCAAGGGATTGATTTTTTAAAGAATATTTTTCAAGAATTTTAAAGCTCGATTTTAAAGAATATTTTTTTTTCAAAGGCAGGATTCTGTGGATTTTTTAAAGTATATTTTTTCAAAGACTCATCGCAGTTTTTAAAGAATGTTTTTTTAATTAACAATAAAGTGTGGTTTTAATTATTATTTTTAATTAACAACAAAATGTAGCTTTATTCATTCAGATTTTTTGTATTTTTTTTATAAATATTTCTTCATTGATTTTAATTATTTATTTAAATATTTTTAAGATTTTTTTAATGATTTTCTTAAATTAGAAACAAAGTGTTATTTATTAATTATAATTAATAAAAATAAGTTAAACATTTTTTTAAATGATTTTTAGTTAATAATTGGCCTGATTTCAATGATTTTTTATTACCCAAACGTGAATTTTCTAAAAAACATATTTTCCAAAGCATTTCCCATCAATTGTTTGTTTGGTTGCCGTGTCAGTTACATTTCATGAACATTTCTGTAATTCACCATGCATTGATGACCCGGGCGAAGCAAAAATACAACAGTGCATTGGAATTTGGCGGGAATGATGGCAATATTCTGGAAATGTCATTTTGTTCGCAAAACAGTTTCATTTTTTTGTTAGCAACATCTTTTTAATAACACAACACTTAAGCACCAACAAAAATTCTTAATCATTTTTACAACAATCATAAAAAAGAAATTGTAACTTCTTATTTGGGTGTAAACGAACGAAGTAAGTAAAACATATGATTGTTTATGAAATTAATTTTGTTTTGTGCAGGCAAGAAATTTCATGACTGTTCTTTTGTTTGTCTTGCAGGCGCAATTTTTTTTTGCATTGTATTGCGAAAAGTCAAACCACGCCAGCGAGAAGTGTTTTTTGTTAATTGAAATCCATCACAGAAGTCGAAGCGGAACGTCGGTCGCACACTCACACAAATATGGCGAAAGTTCACATAACAAATGTTGTGGTACTGGACAATCCCAGCAGTTTCTTTAATCCCTTTCAATTTGAGCTGACATTTGAATGCATCGAAGAGCTGAAAGAAGACTTGGAATGGAAAATGATTTATGTTGGGTCGGCTGAGTCAGAGGAATACGATCAAGTGTTGGATACAATTTATGTGGGACCGGTGCCGGAAGGCCGACACATATTTGTATTTCAGGCCGATCCACCAGATGTCACCAAAATCCCCGAACAAGATGCGGTGGGGGTGACAATTGTTTTGCTGACATGCTCGTATCGCGGTCAGGAATTTGTACGTGTCGGATATTTTGTGAACAATGAATATACAGATCCGGAAATGCGTGAAAATCCACCACCAAAACCACTCTATAATCAATTGACCCGCAATATTTTGGCCACAAAACCCAGAGTGACCCGTTTTAAAATCAATTGGGATGATACACCATCAAATGGTCTGACAAATGGCAATGGTGAACATCACATGGACAATGAAATGCATTGTGGTGGTGCGGAGGCAACAATGAATGGTTGCGGCGAATCAACAACGGGGGCAACTGGCGGCGACTCAAATAGCGTCCATTCAGACGCTCTGGAAGCGAACATGGATGAAAACAGTTTGGCAATGCCATTGGAAAATGGAGTCACCGCCTTAAATGAAAATTCAAACTCTTTAGCTATGGAATGTTAGGTTTATGTGTTAATATTATTACTACTACTGCCTGCCGGCCGACCACCGTTAATGTGGGGTAGATATTATTATCATTATTATTTAAAACGATAATTATTTTCATTTTAATTTTAAATTTAGTTGTATTTTCTGAAACCACACAAAAAATCAAGGAAGGAAAAAAATAGTTTTGTACGTTTGCTGTTAAGGAAAATTTGGGAAGCGGCTCATGAACCTTTTTTTTCTGAAAGTACAGTCTTCGAAATTCCATCAAATAATTTTTAACAACTAATAGATTCTCTCTCTCGCTCACACACACACACACATACTCACCGAAAAAGGATCTCATGTCGCGCTGCATATTATTTTTTTTGAGCAGAAAGCGTTGGAGTACCGTTTCCTAAGTTTTCTGAACCAAAATTTCTTTTCATTGTTTTTTTTTCTGTATTGAACCACCTCAAATGTTTATGTTAAAAAAAAATATTCCTAGAAAAACAACAATATCGTTTCACCATTATATTTATCTAATTCTTAGTTTATATACCTATTTACTTTAATGTAACTTGTAATAATTATTTTAAAACTTAAAAAAAAGAAATCAAAAAAATTAATTTCAAAAATATACAAAAAATTTTTAATGAAGATTATTTATATATTTTTTAGGATAAATGTAAAAAAAATTGTGTGAATATTTGTTCGAGGCGTGGATTTTTTAAAAAAATATATTTTTTCAGGAGTGGATTAAAAAAAATAAAAAATTTAAAAAGTCCATGCCTTAAAAAAGTATTTTTATAAAAAGTCCACGCCTAAAAAATATTGTTTTAAAAAGTCCACGCCCAAAATTTTTTTTTTAAAGTCCGCGTCTTTATTTTTTTTAAGTTCACGCCTAAAAAATTATTATTTTTTTTAAAGTCCACGCCTAAAAAAATATTTTTTTTTTAAAAGTCCACGCCTTAATTTTTTTTTTAAAAGTCCACGCCTAAAAAATATTTTTTTAAAAAGTGCACGCCTTAAATTTTTTTTTTAAAGTCCACGCCTAAAAAAATATTTTTTTTTAAGTCCGCTCCTGAATTTTTTCTAAAGTCCACGCCTAAAAAATATTTTTCTTAAAAAGTCCACGCCTAAAAAAATATTTTTTTAAAAAGTCCACGCCTAAAAAAATATTTTTTTAAAAAGTCCACGCCTAAAAAAATATTTTTTTAAAAAGTCCACGCCTAAAAAAATATTTTTTAAAAAGTCCACGCCTAAAAAATATTTTTTAAAAAAGTCCACGCTTAAATTTTTTTTTTAAGTCCGCGCCCTAATTTTTTTAAATCCACGCCTTAAATATCCAAGGCTAAAAAAATATTTTTTTAAAAAATCCACGCCCAAAAAAATTTTTTTTTTGATTAAAAAAATATATTTTTACCAAATAAGATCAAGGCTTGGATTAAAAAAAAAATGAAAAGAGTTTTTAAATTTTTTCTCAAATAAAATAAATTTTATTTATTTTTTTTCAAATTTCAAAAATAAACAACGACAAATTTGTTATCTCTCTCTCTCCATAAAATTAACCACAATATTCCTGACATATTTCATCGGCTGTGGGCGCCACCGCCTTCCGTTTACAACGCTTCTCCTTCTGGCGTATCTGACGTATCCTCCGCATATATTCGATGACATCATGCAACTGCTGGAAACAAAGTAGACCCGCCGTGCCCAAACTTAAATCTAAGTGTCGGAACCGATTGACATTACAGGTGCAACCATCGAAAAGGTAATAAGCGTGAGGACGCTCCTGACCCCGTTCATCCTTTTCTCCACCGTTCGTAAAGCATCGAAATACCACAAAATTACCCCAGGGTGTCATGGCCAATAGGCGATCGGCACGACTAAAGCCGGCCAACAACAATTTCGATAGACTTTCATAGCTGCCATTTTCCGAACCCACCACAGCCATATCGAGCGGGCATTTAAAATAGCCTGGATAACGATTCGGATTGGGTATCGTTGTTGTACAGAAACGTTTAATATCGAAGAGTGATTCCGTTTCATGTTCATTGTCGGCTTCGTGGCCACAGGCGGAGGATTTGGGGTAGTGGGATTTTTTGGAGGATGTCTTGGGAACTTCCAAGGTATCGCCGGCAAGAGCGGCTGGAGTTTCACTGGGCATTAACTTGGCCTCAACTTGTTTGTCGTGTTTCACAACTTCGGGGGGTTTGCTTATCGGGGTTGTTGGTGGTTTTTCCAGCCCTTGACCCTCCGCCGGTATTTTCTTCTTCTCTTCATTTTCCGATTTCTTTTTGTCCCCGGTTTCTTCCAGGTTGGTAGTTCCTTTAGAAGGTTTATCCCCCTCTTCGGATTCTTTATGGGTATCCTTTTTGTTCGCCTCCTTGCTGGCATTTTTGTCCTCCATTTTTGATTTTTCCGTTTTCAATTTGCTTTCATCTCCCGGAGGTTTTGACGGATTTTTCTCCTTTCCCAAGGCCTCATTTTCCTGATTTTTGTTCTCCTCATCCTCCATTGACTCCCCAGCCTTTTTGCGTTCCTTGGCCTTTTGACCACCACCAGATTTTTTGTCCCCTTTCCCAGCGGATTTTTTGGATTTTTTCGTTATCTTGGCCTTACCACCCTTACCGGAACCTGCTCCACCTCCTTTACCTTTTTTATTATCCTCCTCTCCACTCGAAGATGATTCTAAGCCCTCCATTTCTTCTTCTTCTCCGCCGCCGCCGGCCTCTTCTTCCTCCAAACCCAGTTCACCCTCACTCGATGAGGTTCTCAGCTCCAATTCATCCACATCCGATAAGAGATCCTCATCTTCATAATCACTGATCTCGGCCAAGAGGTTGTGGCAGAAGTCATCGGATTCTTCAAAACAGACATGTTCATTTAGGGATTGCACTTCCACATTGGAATTCAAATCCTCCTCCTCTTCCTTCTGATCTCTCTTCGCAATTTTCAAAATCCTCAGGCTGTGTATGCGGAACGGACTACTTCGATTTGAATCGAGCAGAATATGTTGCAGGGTATTAAGGAACACCTCCATGCAGCCGAACATCCTCAGAGTCCCACTTTTTTCCATTTCCTCATAGCTGCCCGCTGCCGAAGTATCCGGCTGACCCAAAATCCGATGACGAAATGGATCGAAGAGATATATGAAATCATTTTTCCTCCAAATGGCATAAAATTGATAATTGATTTGCAGTAACAGCTGATTATCCCCATCCACAAAGGCCTTGCCTATGTGATCCGCCATTTCCGAATACCGATAACCCGGCACACATCTCCAAAATCCATCATATTTTGATGCCAACAAATCGATACGCACTCTATATTGGGCCATATCAAAAAGGTGGGGGAAATCCAGGACATTTATTGCGCCACCACCACCCTGCATCGGACACGAAGCCCAATATGCCTGTTGACAAAATCTTACACCATAACACATTATCTTATCCAAGATTTTCATATTCCAGGTGGCTGGATGATCCAATTTGGAGACCACAATTGCCATTACCCCGGCGGGAAGGGCACTTCGATTCCTTAGCAGATCCTTCGGGTTCAATGACAAATGCAATGAGGCCTTCAAATAGGCATAATCCTCATTGACACACTCCCATTGTTGCAATCTCAGTCCATAGTCCCGCTGTACCACCTCTCCCGATGGCATTTGGACCTTAACCATTTTCATTTCTCGCAGCGAAAATGAATCGATTTTGGGGAGATTTGTAAGACCCACTAAAAGGTGACGTACATTTTCCAAATTTTGCACACACACCAACATGGCCATACCCTTTTCACGATCCGATTGGAAATCCATACGGCGACCGCATACATCCAATATCATATAGGCACCCTGGGAACGCCACAGCAGGACATAAATGACATTGCCGAAGGTCAGGAGGCCATATTTGTAGCTCTTGAAAAATTTACGAAGCGAATTTTTTAAATCCCTAAATGGTAACTCTCCTTCATCACCTCCAACATCCTCATGATCACCCTTGGCTCCATTATCATCACCCATTCGGAATTTCCTCATCAATTCCACATGAAAGCCACAGCCGGACATTTGAAATTCTCTTTGTATCCGCTGCTCACTTTCCGAATATATTTCCAAGGGTGATTCCAAGGCGTTCCCCTCCTTTTCCGATTGGGTATACAAGGCCAAACCTTCACGCAGCAGCTCATCAAGTAGTTCGCTGGTCCACATATATTCCGGATTGAGATAAAGTCTGGCAAATGCTTTAAAATAGGTGGCATATCGGGCCAGGGCAATATCACCCGGTTTACCCTCACTTTTGAAATTGATGCTGGACGCCAACATACCCACCGTCGAACCGAGGGAATTTTTATTGGGATCTTTGGCTTTGATAACTGGAAGGGTTAAAAAAATCGGGTTTAAAAAAATTTGGACTTGGACATATTTTCAAGGCGACGATTTTTTTAAACAAATATTTTTACAAGTCGTGGATTTTTTTAAATATTTTTTTTTAATATTTTTAAAGTTTTTGTTTTAGAAAAAAATTTTTTATTCCAATACTTACCTCTTGCCGGACAGGGATAATTGGGAAACGGTGTTGTATCGTGGTCACCATACATTTGACAATTTTTCGTATTGCAAATTAGTAAATCGGCATTTTGTGGTTCGAATTTTTGCCTAAAATAAAAATGTTGAATAAAAATTTTGATGTAATAAAACTTTACAATTCCCCCTAACCATTGGTGCAAAAATTATGAAAATCGGTTCAGAAGTTTCTGAGTTATTTGCATTTGAAATCAACCATGTTCCGAACTACACCCTACTGTTCGATGCTGGGCACCTGTTAACAGAAAATGAAAAATCACACAAAAATGCATATTTAAACAGAGGCATTTTTTGTCTTCTTCTTCTTCCGTAATGGCTGCTGTTGGTTTGTAAACAAAAACTGTAGCATACTTTTAGGCTCAAGATCTGACACTATGATAGGTGAATTCAAATGCAAATAACGCAGCGGAAACTTAACCGATTTTCCAAAATGGTGCACCAATAGGTCGGGGGAATTCTAAAGTTTTATGAAATATTTAATATATATATATATATATAACTTTATGTTTTAAAAGAAACAATAAGCACTATTTGAAAGTTCAAAGACATTTGGAATATCGACTGAGGGTATAATTAATATTGGAAATTTTATCACAAAGACTTAAATAAATTTCGAAAACTTTACACTTACTTGCCACACATTTCAATACGCGGTGAATTTTGACATGAATTTTGCGGTCGATTCATTTTTTAATAAGAAATAAGAATAATTAATTTTGAAGTACTGAAATTAATTTTTAATTAGTTTTTGGTAAAAAAAAAAAGATTTTGATTTTTTTTTACAAAAGCACGTTATATTAATATTAGTTTTTATTATTAATAAAATTAATTATTGTTTAGCCTATTTGGTCTTATTAAAAAAATACAATTTTTTATGAAATTTTATTTTTATTGCAAATAAACAACAAATACAATTTTAATTTGACAAATGACAAACATAGCAGAGTTTCGGTTTTTCAACATTTCCCCTTAACAATAGTTCTGTTCCCCTACATGGAAAACTGGTAAAAATTTCAATATTTTTGACTCGGAAAAAATTAATACCAGGTATTTAATAAAGAGCCACCAAATTTTTAAAAATATTTTTTAAAGAAAAAAATATTGAAAATATTTCTGAAAGATTTTTTTTTTAATTTTAAAGAGTTGACAGCAACTGTTTCTTTGCTGCCATTGCATTCCGTTACGTACGTTGGCTGCAATGTAAACAACAACAACAGTACTGTTAACAGCAGCTGTTGCTGTGTTGCCATGAGTGAGGGAGAGAGAGGGAGAATTACTCAGACCTCGGCCATTACACTGTGAACGGCGTTAGTTGTCAAAAAAAAAGGCGTTGACTGCAATGTAACAGAGCTCGTTAACAGTAGCTGTTGTTGTGTCGCCAGGGAAAGGTGAGATGGAGAGAGAGATAACTCAGCCCTTTGTCATTACATTGTGAACGAACGCCGTTGACTGCCGCTGTTGTTTGAAAAGAGATTTAATTTTCTTTGTAAAGTAAAGGAAAATACAAATTAAAAAAAATAAAGAAATAAATAAAACAAATACAATTTTAATTTGAAATGACAAGCATAGTAGAGTTTTGAATTTTAACCATTTGCCTTGACAATAGTGCTGTTCCCGTACTGAAAAACTGGTAAAACATTTAAATTTTTTACTCGAAAAAATAATGAATAGCAGATTTTAATAAAGAGCCACCAATTGGCATGGATTTCTCAAATATCTTTTTTTAATTTTTTTAAATAGCCACCAAGCGGTGTAGATTTTTTAAAAATATATCTTTTACTTCCCCATTTTTTTGAATAAAACAAATTTGTTTTTATTTTTTAAATGTGTTTTTTCTCAATTTTTGTTTTCTTCAGTTTTATTTTTTATTTTCTTTTTGTATGTATAGTACTATTTGTGTTGTTGTTTGTTTTTTAATATTTTTTAATTAATAATAAGTAATATGCCTTATTTATTTTAATGTCATTATAATTTTTTTTCAATATTTTCTTTTTCTCACCACAAATACTTTTATTTCAATCTCGTTATTATATATATGTTTGTATGTATATGTAATAGTATTTAATAATTGTATTTGTATTTCGTGTATATAAGCTAAAAATGTATTAAGTATGTGTGTCTGTGTGTGTGTGTGGGTCAGCTTAAAATAATTTTCGTTTTTTTTTTGTTTTTTAAATTTGCATATTACATATCATCTTACTTAATTATAAAGTAATTATTTGTTTGTTTTTTGTATATAATTTTGTTGTTGTTGTGTTATTCTTAATTAATTTTTTGTTTTCTTCTTTCATTTTTATTATAATAACATGTCATCAAAAAATTTGTATTTTTTAATAATGCAGCACAAAAAAATAATTATAAATTTCGTTTGTTTGCAGTTGTTGTTGTTTCTTTCTTCAATATATATTTTTTGCATTAAGGCACTCAAGCAAAGATTTTGTGCAAGTATATAAATATATTATAACTGATTGTTGTTTGTGTTTTATTTGGTATTTATTTTTTATTAAATATTTTCGCAACATAACAATTTTGCTGTAATTTTGAGGGAGGGGAGAATTGGCAAATTAATAATAATTTTATGTTATTTAAAAAAAATATATAGAAGCATTTTTTTTTTAAATTATTGTAACAGAATGTAGAGTAACATTGGGCGGGAAAATTTTTAAAATTAATTTTCTTTATGCCTCTTAAAGGAATTTATAAGTATTGGAATTGTTTGAAAAATGCATTTAAATATACAATATTTTAAAATTTTTTTTATCAATATAAATAATTAAAGCTTTATTTTTTGTTATTTCATTATAAAAAATTAAATATTAATTAATTTCCTTTAGATCATTTATAATCTTACTTTACATTCCGTTACGTACGTTGTAGACTAATTGCAAAAAGGGGAATGTCAAACGCACACACGGCAGGTGTCAAACGCACAACAACAACACTGTTGACAGCAGCTGTTTCTTTGCTGCCATTGCATACCGTTACGTGCATTGGCTGCAATGTAAACAACAACACTGTTAACAGCAGCTGTTGCTGAGTTGCCATTAATGGTAGAGAGCGTGAGAGGGAGAATTACTCAGCCCTCTGTCATTACATTGTGAACGGCGTTAGTTGTCAAAAACAAACGCCGTTGACTGCAATGCAACAGAGCGCGTTAACAGTCGCTGTTGTTGTGTTGCCATTAGAGGGAAAGAGAGGGAGAGAATTATTAAACTCCCAGTCATTCCATTGTAAACAATAATGTTGTTTGAGAAGATATTTAATTAATACAAACTAAATTGTAAGTAATATATACTAGAAAAATAATACAAAATATTGGAATTAAACATAGGATATGTATTTTATAATAATATATATATATATAATATATAAACTAAATAAATTGCAATGTTTACATCTAAAACTAAATACACAATAGTACCTTAATAAAAATAGGTAGCAAAATTAAAAGTTGAACAAAACCACAGACTTATTGAGTGTTTTAAACTTAAAGTTTTTTTCTTAAAAATTAGAAAAAATCATCAATTTGTATTTTTCTTAAAATTAAAAACATAATTTGTATTTTTCGCTTACTAATAATTATTATTATTTTATATTTCTTCTTATTTAGCATAAACCGAAAAAAAAACGAAATAATAAAAATTAATATGTAAAATAAAATTAATTTGTTTTATTTATTTTTGTAGATGCTTGTTGTTGATTTCATTTTGTAGGACGTATCTTGATTTGTTTCTTATTGTATTTTTACTTTTTTATATATATTTTTTTCTTAAACTAAAATAAATCTACACATACACAAAAATTAAAAATATTTCTAAAACAAAGCAATTTGAGTACAATTATATTAAAAATCTAATAAAGAAACAGTTTTTTGTTATGGAATAATTAGAGTTGTTATTTCCATAAAATTGAAAACAAAATATTGTGAATTTTTTTGCAGAAAGATTTTAAAACTTTTTTTAAATCACAGTATAAGTTTTCAAAAAAAATAAAATTTTTGTAATTTATGGAAGTTAGGGATGTCTTAAGGAATTATTTAGAAATTAAAAACATGTTTTGATTTTTTTTTCAAAAGTGAGGTTATAGCCGGCTGTTTAGTTTTTTTTTTCAATCCACGAATCTCTGTATTATACTGTATGTATATTTTATATATCATTATAGGAAATATTTTGTATTAAAAATTATGAAAGTTTAAGATTTTTTTAAAAGTGTTTTTTTCAAAAGTGAGATTATATCCGGCTTTTTTGTATAAGTTTTCTCTCAATTTTTATATCCATGAATTTCAGTGTTATACTGTATGTATATTTTGTAGAAAAATTATGAAAATTTAAAAATTTTTGAAAAAAAGTGAGGTTATGACGAATTATTTTTTTAATTTTGTTTATGTTTATAATTTTATAAATTTTGAACATTGGAATTAATTTTATGATGTTTTCAATATTTATTATAGATTTTATTTAAATGTTGTTTTCAAAAACTGAGGTTAAATATTTTTTCTGCTTAAAATTTTTTTTTAAAAACATTTTTTTAGAATAAAGAAATTCATTATATTTGTTCCACATATTGCAATTATATTTAAATATTAAAAAAATGCATTTAAATTTATATTAACATTTTTGAGATTAAATTGAATTAGGGTTAATTTTTGCCTCAGAATTTCGTTTTACAAGGTTATTATCAATGAAAGAATTATTGCCCACAAAATTTCATAGAGGGTCCCTGAACAAAAGAATAAAGTTGCTATAGTTTATTTCCTTCAAAAAGACTAAATGAAATAATATATAATTTTTTCTTTTTTATTTTTAGAGGTTAATTTTGAACAAGCCCAATTTTTCCCTGAATCTTACACTTTAGCGAGATGATGTCAATGGGAAAATTATTCCCCACAAAATTTTATTGTGGGTCCCGGAACAAATGAAATCTGTAGCTATAGAATATCTCTTTAAAAAATACTAATTCTAATTTGATATATAAGAACAGAAATTATTATTTGACATTTTTGAGGTTAATTTCGAATAGACTGCATTTTTTTCAGTCATTCTTTCTTTTTTTTAAATGAGAAAACAAAAAATCTATGAATTGAAATTCTATGTGAAAAAAACTTTTTTCGCAAAGTTTCAAAGATTTCAAACTAGATTTTGAGTTTTCAAAAATTTGATTTTTTTAAATTTGTAGTTAAATATTTAAAATGGGAAATTAATTTCAAAATTTAATTGGAGTTTTTTTAATCATTAATATTATTAAAAACGTTTTTAAATTATAATTTTTTCTCATGGAAACCTCTGTTTGGCATTGCAATAACGTGGAACAAATATAACGCCTAAAAGTATGCAACACAAATGGCAACAAAGACAGCACAATGTCTGTTTATGGAATGTTGTGAAGGTTTTCAAGGCAAATTTTTCATAGCAAATTAAAAAAAGTTTTTTTTATATTTGTTTTTGTTGTGTTTTGTATATATGTCAATCATATATATATTTTTGTAGTTTGTTTAAAGTAGTTAACATATAGTTTTTATATATATTAAATATTAGATTACACATATAATGAATAATTTTAATTATAATAATAACATTAATTATAATTAAATAAATTAATTTACTAAACAATTTGTATTTTGTTGTTTTTGTATTTATAATTATGTTTTCATCTTTGAGTATATCAATATAATATACTTGGGTTACATACATACACAAATAATCAATAATGCCATAAGATGAAATTGAAGATTTCATTTGTTTCTTGGTGAGAGTTCAAATTGCCCACACAAATAGTAAAGAGCAGAAGGGAGGGTGAGGGGAAAGGATGCTACAAAATGTTAATAAGGATTTAACCAAGAAGGACTTCTAAAACAATTGAGGTTATGGCGAAAATGTTTGATAAACATATTGAAAAACGAGTGAGATGGATTTTTGAGGTTAATTTGGAAAAGAGCCTATTTTACCATCAAAACATTATTTTACCTAGTTGGTGTCAATGAAAGAAAGATTCTTTATCGAATTTCATTCGGGGTCTCTGAACAAAAGAAGATAATAGCTTTAATATATTATCCTTAAAAATACCAAAAAGTATTGGGAAAAATAAAAAGAAAATTAATAATTTAAAAATTTTGAGGATAAATTGAATTAGTGCTAATTTTTGTGGCATAACTTTATTTTACAAGGTTGGTACGAATGAAAGAATTATTGCCCACAAAATTTCATACAGGGTCCCTGAACAAAAGAAATCTGTAGCTGTGATATATTTCCTTGAAAAACATTAAAAGAAATTATGAATAAATAAGAAAAAAAATATTTGATTTTTTGGAGGTTAATTTCTAATAGGCCGAATTTCTGCCTCAAATTTTCAATTTAGCGAGATGGCGCCAATAAAAGGATTATTCTCCAGAAATTTTCATTGTGGGTCCTTGAAAAAAAGAACTCAGTGGGTATAGTATATTTCATTGAAAATATCAATATTAAATTTGATATATAAAGACAAAATGTATAATTTAAAAATTTTGAGGTTAAATTTGATTAGTGCTAATTTCTGTGCCATAACATTATTTTCCAAGGTTGGAACCAATGAAAGAATTATTCCCCACAAAATTTCATAGAGGGTTCCTTAACAAAAGAAATCTGTAGCTATAGAATATATTCTTTGAAAAATACTAAATTAAATTGGATATATAAACAAAAAAGGATTTGATTTTTATGGAGGTTAATTTTGAATAAGCCGTATTTATGACTCAATTTTTTCAATTTAGCTAGGTGGTGTCAATGGAAAAAATATTCCACACAAAATTTCACTATGGGTTACTGAGCAAATTATATCTCTAAATACAATACAAATATTAAAAAAATCTCATAACAAAATTTGATATTTCAATGAGAATATATATTTTCTGCAGCATACTTTTAGGGGCATTTTCCAAACTCATTAACTGGTTTTAGAGCTTTGGCTCCAAAGAAGGACAAATTCTACACAAAATTTTACTATGGATCACTTAACACAAGAAACCTGTAGCAATAATAATTCGCTGGGAAAGAATGGCGAGAAATTGATTGTAACCAAGGGAAGAAATTAGTGATTGACTTTTTTAAGGTTAATTTCGAAAAGTGGGAATTTAGTCCTCATAGACTGGTTTTAGTGGCCCGATGTCAATGAAAGAAATGTTCTATAGAAAATTTCATTATGGGTACACAAAACTTGTAACACACCAAAGCAAGAAATTACTGGACATTTTAGCAATTATAATTTGTTATTAATGAAAGATATATTCTAAAAAAAATTTCACTATGGGTCACTGAACACAAGAAATTAGTTATAATTTGCAATGCAAGAAATTAATGGTTGATTTTTTTTGAGGTTAATTTCGAATTGTGGCTATTTCTTCCTCATTGACTGGTTTTAGTGGCTCGATGTTAATGAAAGATATTTTCTACATAAAATTTCACTATGGGTCACTGAACACAAGAAACCTGTAGCAATAATAATTAGCTGAGAAACGAGAACCAGAAATTGGTTATACTCAATGCAAGAAATTACTGATTGATTTTTTGAGGTTAATTTCGAATTGTGGTTATTTCTTACTCATTGGCTGGTTTTAGCAACTCGAAATTAATGAAAGATATATTCTACACAAAATTTCAACATGGGTCACTGAATACACCGAAGTTGTAGCAATAATAATTTGCTGAGAAATAACAACGATAAATTTATTATACCCAAAGGAAGAAATTACAGATAGATTTTTTAGGTTAATTTCTAAAAGTAGGAATTTAGTCCTCATAGACTGGTTTTGGCGACTCGATGTTAATGAAAGAAATATTCTGCACAAAATTTCACTATGGGTAACTGAACACACCCACCCCGTAGCAATAATAATTTGCTGAGAAATAACAACGATAATTTTATTATACCCAAAGGAAGAAATTAAAGATCGATTTTTTGAGGTTAATTGCGAAATGTGGTAATTTCTTCCTCATCGGTATGTTTTAGTGGCTCGATGTTAATGAAAGATTTATTCTACACAAAATTTCACTATGGGTTACTAAACAACAGAAACTTGTATATGCAATAGATACCTCTAAAAAATCTCATAACAAATTAAGATATATTTAAAGGCAATGCAATTCCCAATAACCTCAATTATTAGGGGTCTGTGATGTCGGTAAAAATTTCCCTAGTGTTTCTTTTTTGGAAATCCCTTTTGTTTGTAGCATCTTTCCCTTATTCTCAAATATTTCATGTATACGATGTGATTGTTTGGCAAACAAAATGGCAATTTAATTTAGTGTTGAATATACCCTTTAAAAAATAAGGGATTTAAGTTAATTTTGTTTTTAGGGGGATAATTTTTTTTATTTGTATTACCTCCTTTCCTTTTAGTATGGCTATATTTTTTGGGGAATTTCAAACCATATTTATAGCTCCATCTTTGTCATAGGTTGGTATTGAAATAATATCATTTTTATTAGTACGTTGCTGCTGTTGTTGTCTGCTATTAAAGGAAGCCTGTGAAGGCCTGTCACCTTCATTTGAATTTCCGGTGGAGCATTTCTTTTTATTATACACCGTTAATTGTACTTGTCGTTGCTGGGTCGCCGATGAAACACTTGGCAAGTCATAAGATTCATCGTTGTCCTCATCATCATCTTCACCGGATTCTGTATCACTTGATTCGGTTTCCGAATATGATGTTGTTGTATTATTTTCTATTAGCTGTTGTTTTGTTGTATTTTTCTTAGCTGCTGCGGCCACTGCCATTTTTTGCAAGGCCTCCGGCATATCGGGATTACTTTCCAATGTGGAATGTTGACTTGAGGGTGAGTGGCTATACTCGGAGGTATTCTCTTCATCGGAAATGATGATGGTGTTACGTTTGTGGCTTTGTATGGGCATTTTTGGTGTTACGGGAGTTTTGTAAGAGCGTCGGGGTCGTCCACGACCAATAGGAAGACGGCCAATACTATAAGGAAGACAATAAAATAGATGATTAGATTCCATATAATTTTTGATGTTATATGTCAATCACTTACCTTCTTCTCCTCAAGGAATAGTTGTAATCGGTATCCTCACCCTCCTCATCGGACCAGCTATCATTGCAGAAATCTTCATTGGATTCGCCGCCGCCATTGGCATTTGTGACATCACCACAACTGGCCATGGATTGTGACTGTAGCAGCTGTGGCGGCTGCTGCTGCCTTCCAGAGTTCCTATGCAAACTTGCACATCGCGACAAGCGGGGTGTACGCATTTCCACCGCTGCCGAACTATTGTTCACCACATCCATAATCTCACCCCTCATCACTGTCAAACATTCCGAATTGCCATTTTCCGGTGTCAACGGTTGTGACACATTCTGTATGGGAGGTGTATGACCCGTTGTCGAGGTATTCGACAATGACGATTGCATGGAAAGACGATTCTCCGTGATAAGTTCGATAACCTTACGTCCCAATCTCTCGAGATTTTCATTATCACTACAACAATCGGCAATATCCAAACGTTCGTTACTGTTCATAACATCATCCAATAGCTGATCGGGACTAGAGCAGGCATCTTGAAATGTGACATCACTGGTGGTGAGGGGGGAACCATTACCATTGGGGCTTGTGGGTGTTATGGCCAATGGGGAGGATGGGGATGTATTGTACTGAGCTGCTTGTTGTTGTATTCGTTGTTGTTGTTCGCTCACCATTTGATTGTGCTGCAGATTTCTATGCTGAGCGGTGGTGGTTTGCTGGCTGGCCACCGCCGTTTGTGGTTGGGCAAATTGTTGTGAATTTCGTTGTTGTTGTGGGGAATTCAAATCTATGGCTTGTGTCAATTCGGGGCAGTGATTTAACATTGTCGCCATATCATGTGTGGCAAAATAGGCGCTTGGACTTATATCCGGTTCACTAACATCCATGGCATCGGTCTGTGTTTCTGTGTCGACCATTTTATTTTTACGATTTTCCGGTTCACTTTGATAGCGGCGATCACGACATGGACTGTATTTGGGTGCCGCTGTGGCAAAGGTTCCCGAACCAACACGACGATGTCGGGATTTGTTTTTGGATTTTTGTGTGGCCACACAATACGATTTCGGCTGGGATGTATTGCCATCCAATTGAGCATAGAGGGTACATTTTTCGGGACTCTGTGGGGGAGGGGGAGAAAGAGAGAAAAAAACGTATTAATATTATAATAAAAGTAGAAAAGAAAAAAAGAAAAGATAAATGGGAAATGAAACATAAAAAATAGGTTATGTTCGATTTCTGCCTGATTTTTTTATTTAGGGGTTCAATGTCAATGGAAGAAATATTCTATATAAAATTTAACTATGGGTCTCGGAACAAAAGAAATCTGTAGATATAATACCTAACATGATAATAGGCCCTAACAAATTGGGTAAAAACAAATAACATTACTTTGTGAGGAGTTTTTGGACTAATTTCAAAATCTGACAATTTCTCAGAGAATAGGACACTCTAGGGTCATGACCTCAAAGCAAAAAATAATCTACAGAAAATTTCACTATAGGTCACCGAACAAAAGAAATCTGTACATATAATACCTAATGTGAGAATAGGCCCTAACAAATTGGGTAAAAACAAAGAACATTACATTGTGAAGGGTTTTTCGACTAATTTCAAAATCTGACAATATCTCAGAGAATTCGCCACTTTAGGATGATGACCTCAAAGAAAAAAATAATCTACACAAAATTTCATTATAGGTCACCGAACAACAGAAATCTGTATATATAATACCTAACGTGATAATAGGCCCTAACAAATTGGGTAAGCACAAAGAACATTACATTGTGAGGGGTTTTTCGACTAATTTAGAAATCTGACAATTTCTCAGAGAATTAAACATTCTAGGGTCTTGATCACAATGAAAGAAATTATTTAGACAAAATTTCACTATAGGCCACAGAACAACAGAAATCTGTACATATAATACCTAACGTGATAATAGGCCCTAACAAATTGGGTAAAAAAGAACAATAATTTGTGAGTGGTTTTTTTGACTATTTTAATTTTACAATTTCTCAGAGAATAGGCCACTCTAGTTTGATGACCTCAAAGGAAAAAATAATCTTCAGAAAATTACACTATAGATCGCCGAACAACAGAAGTCTATACATATAATACCTAACGTGATAATAGGCCCTAACAAATTGGGTGAAAACAAAAAACATTACTTTGTGAGGGGTTTTTCCGACTAATTTCGAAATCTGACAATTTCTCAGAGAATAGGCCACTCTAGGATGATGACCTCAAAGGAAAAAATAATCTACAGAAAATTTTATTATAGGTCACCGAACAAAAGAAATCTCTAACTCTAATAGAAATCGATAAAAAAATTGCTGAACAATTTCTACCTCCGGTGTTGTTTGAGGATTTGGTGTTGATGATTGCTCTTGTTGTTGCTGCTGTTGTTGCACTTGGATCTGCCCTGTCGAAGCAGCTGCTATCATCATGGGCGGTGCATTGAGTCTTCGTCGATAATACTGCATTTTACGTAAGGTTGTACCAAAACGTCTGGAAGGCTTATAGCCGGGTAGTTTCTTTTCACGCCTGCAACGGAAAGGAAAAGAGATTAGATTTCAAGGGTTACTCTCTCCCCCCTTTCTCTCTCTCTCTCTTTCTTTCCCCTCTTCAATACTTACTCGGCAATTTCCTTTTCCTTCTCCTGCAGCTGGGACATACACTCACTCAATTCTAAATATAAACGATTTGTCTTCTCCAATTTATCTTCGTAGACCATGCGTATATCTTGAGCATGCCTCCATTCCGCTGTTCGCCTCCTTATCAAGTCTTGTTCAAATTTATGTATACTTGTTCCATTCTGGGTCATTTCTTTCATGTGCGAGCGTACCTCCTCCTTCCAGGAGCGTTGTGTCTCAAAATATTGTTTACCCGTTTTACGCAGCAATTCGGGTCCGGCAATTTCCAAGTGAGAGAGAATTTGCCGAAATGATGGACGGTTTCGGGGTTTTGTGTTCCAGCACAATTTCACTAGGAGTTTGAAACCATCCGGACAGCTAGAGGGTATGGGTAGCTTAAGGGAATTATTACCCACACCCCAGATAATGGCTGAGGAGTCGACATCTTTGTAGGGTATTTCACAGGTTAACATTTCCCAGAGGACGACACCGTAGGACCAAATGTCCACCTTTTCGGAGCACGGCTCATTGCGTATGACTTCGGGCGCCATCCAGGCCACTGTGCCGGCAAAGCTCATTTTGGTGCTAATCTCATTCCATTCACGGCTGGTGCCGAAGTCGCTGATCTTGACCAATTGTTCGGCGCTGATCAGAATGCTGAAAAGGAAAAGAGGGAAAAATCAGTAAAAATTTTCCTAATCGGAAAGGGGGTTCTACTCACTTTGGACTCTTCAAATCCCGGTGTATAATTTTGTGGGAATGTAAATACTGCATGCCCAAGGCAATTTGTTTCGACCAGGAAACGAGGCGGGACGGTTTCATACAATCGGCTTCTTTGAGTATATTTTGTAGCGGACCATAGGGGCAGAACTCCATGATGATACAATACACCGGTGATTGGGTGCAAACACCTCTGCAAAAAAACAAAAAAATTAGAAATGTTCGGCAAAAAATTCCCCATCCCGCACTCACTTGAATTTAATGATATTCTCATGATCCAATTTTCGTAAATGCTTTATATCTGTCTCCTTGACATCTTTGACCTTCTTGACGGCAACAATTTCATTTTTCAATTTGCCACTGAAGACCGCCCCCTGGGCACCACTACCCAACCATTGCAAATCGGTTATCGATTCGAAGGGTATTTCCCAATCTTCTGTTTTTTGATTTTTAATTTCGATGACACCGGCCTTGCCGATAAACGACAACACCGGTTTCATACAACCCAATAGGCCATACATCCATCCGATGGGTTTATCGCCATGACCGAACGTACCCCCATTTGGGGGCCATCGATGCTGGCAGGTATTCTCCGCACTGCTGTCGCTCAAATCGACAACGACATTTTTGTGAGGCTGGTGCTGATGTTGATGTGTAATTTCGGGTTTATAAGGCAAATCGGTAGGACCGCCAAGGCCTAGGTGACCGAGGTCTTCCTGCAGGCAGGCAATGCTGAAATGGGAGAGAAGAAAAATATTAGTTTTCTATAGAATATTTAGTTGTATAACAGTTAAACAAATTGTTGTTATGACAATTTTGCAGTATAACAGTTTATATGTAAAACTGTTATATGTATAACAGTTTCGATATTCAATATTTAGTTGAAATATTCAACTGTTATATGTATAACAGTTAAAAATAGTTAACTTTTATATGTATAACAGTTTCAATATTAATGTTTTTCTGTATAAAAGCATAATAATTTGTATAACAGTTAAAAATATCGATATGAAAGTATAGTATAACAGATTTTATTGGAAAAATTATTTCGATATTCAATATTTATAGGTATAACAGTTGAAATGTTCAACTGTTATATGTATAACAGTTAAAAATAGTCAACTTTTATATGTATAACAGTTTAAATATCAAAAATTGTTTTCTGTATAACAATATAAAAATTTGTATAACAGTTAAATTATCGATATGAGACTACTTTATAACAGATTTTATTGGAAAATTTACTGTATAACAGTTAAATATAAAACTGTTATATGTATAACAGTCGAAATATTCAACTGTTATATGTATAACAGTTTAAATATGAAACGTTTTTATGTATAACAGTTAAAATATCGATAATTAAGTAATGTATAACAGATTTTATGGCGAACTTACTGTATAACAGTTTATATATGAAAGTGTTGTATGTATAACAGTTGAAATATTTAACTTTTATGTGTATAACAGTTGAAATATTCAACTGTTATATGTATAACAATTGAAATAGTCAACTTTTTTATGTGTATAACAGTTTAAATATCAAAAAAATGTACGTATAACGGTACAAAAATTTGGTATAACAGTTAAACAAGATCGATATGAAAGTACTGTATAACAGATTTTATGAAATTATAAAGTTTTCGTTGTATAACAGTTTACATGTGAAACTGTTATACGTATAACAGTTGAAATATTCAATCTATAAAAACTGTTATGCAGTCAAAGCAGCGATTAAAAATATTTTTTATTAAGAAATAAGTTTCGATTGCTTAAGAACACATGTATAACAGTTTCAAATGGTGTATAACAGTTTTAAATTATCTCTTTATAACTGTTATACTATGCTAATATGTATTGTAAATACATTTTTTACCCATAAAACCAATTCTTTTCTCCGTGTATAACAGTTTGTAAGTCCTCGTATAACAATTTTTTCAATAGAAATTGTGTATAACAGTTCAAATTTGAAAATTGCGGCTGCAATACCGCTAAATAACCTCATAAAAAGAGAAAGACATATTTTTAATTGCATGAAATTGTGTATAACAGTTACAATTTTCTTTCCATAACTGTTATACTACGCTTATATGTGTGTAATATACATTTTTTAATCATTAGATTAATTTTTCTATTAATATGATTGAAAAATAAGTGTATAACAGTTTACAAGATCTCGTATAACAGTTTGTTTTTTAATGAAACTTTGTATAACAGTTCAAAATTGAAAATTACGCCTGCAATTCCGCAAAATAATCTCATAAAAAGTGAAAGACAAATTTTAATTGTATGAAATGGTGTATAACAGTTTGCAATTATCTCTCTATAACTGTTATACTACGCTTAGGTAATATAAATTTTTTTAGTCATAAAACTAATTTTTCTCTCAATATGATAGAAAAACAAGAGTATAACAGTTTATAAGACCTCGTATAACAGTTTGTTTTTCAAAGAAAAATTTTGTATAACAGTTCAAAATTTAAAATTACGGCTGCAATACCGCAAAATTAAAGTGAATGAAAAATGTTTATTGTATAAAATGGTGTATAACAGTTAATACATCAATTCTACATGGTATAACAGTTTTTTATCGTCAGTTTTTTATTGAAAATAAAATTCATATAGAATTTTATTATACACTAGTGTAACAGTTAAATCTTCAAAAAAATTCCAAATTTCTTTTAAAGAAATTCATCAGTATGACAGTTAAATTTGATTCTTTTAGAATCCAAAAAAGTGACAGGAGAACAATTGAATTTCAATAAAATACCGTTAGACCGTATTAGAATTTCAAAACAATAGCCTATCTATTTTTCCGCAATCATCACGAGACACCTGTCTCTCCAAATCCCCTGATAAAAGCTTCGACTCACAACGATCTCCAGCATCTTTGCTGGCCTTTCGCTAATGAATGGCATTTTTTTTTTTTTGAATTCAATTAGAAACAGGAAACCGGTTTTATGTTAGAAAAAACAAACTTAAAACTATCTAAACTATTTAACCAAGTTTATAACAACAAAAAATTCCAACAGCAACAACAACAACTCCACAAGCCGTTAACAATTATCTTGGATTTGCTATGATATTATAAAACCATAAAAAACGAAAACAACAACAACAAAATCAATGACGTCAAGTCCGAGCAAAGTTTTTCCGTCAAAGAATTCTAGAAACAAATCAGCAGTCTTTTTTAGAGGCGTTTACGTTTTTTGTGCTATCACCCTGCAAACAGCAACAAAAACAACAACAATAGCAACCCAGCAGCTCTGTTTGTTGTTAGGGCCAGACAGAGTGAGTGAGTGTGACGCGTATAACAGTTATTATCAGGGGGACAGATTTGAATAAACAACAACAACTAACACCAACTTTCAAAGTCCAAAAACATCCGTAGCCAACTTTAAACATTGTATAGCTGCATACTTGATCATGTCCGGTAAATAGTGACAATGATTATGCCCTCGTTCTCATTTATTTTCTTAAGGCATTTCATATGATGAGGTCTCAGTTACTCTCACAAGAATCAAGAACACTCTTGTGTTACATTACAGCTACAAACAACAAAAGGTACACAAACCAAAACAACAACAAAACCAGAAAATGTAATTACACAAAATTCCATTACCCCCAAAGAATCATTCAACCCTAACCAACAGTCGCAAACAACGACAACAATAAACACAAAATTCTCATATGACAATCAAAAATAAAAACAAAGGCATCGCAAAAAAGCAATAATAATCATGATCACAAACAAAACAACAACAAAAAACCGCCATACTCAGGTGATTTTGAGTTTTCACCTGGAATATAAAAAATAAAATAAAACAAATCACACATATGCACACACTCATGTATATTCCCACAAGACGACAAAATAAATCGTTGGTATCTTCTCCAAAAACAATAACAACAACAACACACAATCAATTTTTCGTGTTTGTTTATCTTATCAACAAATAAATGAACAAACGAACGAACGACATAGCATGCCCAAGCCAGCGAAACGAACGAACTGGCCAGCAACGATCGTATCTACATAACAACAACAACAGCAACAACGACGACGACAAAACAAACAGATTGGCAAAAAATCTCACACACATTGCAAAAACAAATGAACAACAAGGAAAAACAACAACAACATAACTGTGTTTAGCAAACCCCCACCACACACAAGAGCAGAGTGATGGAGAGTCTGAGAACGAGAGAGAGAGCACCCATCACATACATGGAGCCTTGTGTGGCAAAAAGCAAAACAAAACAAAATATGTGCGTGCATGCATTTATGCCTTGTTTGCAAACTTCCATCATTAGCCATTGAGTGTGCAATGGGAATAGGAAGAGAGAGAGAGGGAGGGAGACAGTTTGTGGGAGATAGGGAGTGGGTGAAACAGAGTGGGTGGTATAGAGTGCGTAGTAATGTTATTGTGGGTGATAGACAGAGCTCAACCAGTTGTATTGCAGTAATTGATCAAAGGTAAATAATTAAAATAGCAGGTGAGTGTGTACCGGGTAGAGAGAGAGAGAGAGGGAGAGAGTGTGAACTAGGGAGAATAATAAACAAATGTCATTACTGTTGGAGATGAATGTGATGCAATGAAAGTAGCCAGATGAAAGAAAGGCATGTAGGCTTGTTTGCCAAAAACAAAACAAAAGATGCACACGCATGCTTGCCTTGCCATGCTGTGCAATCTCCCAACAGTAGCCGGTAAGTGTGTAATGGGAAGAAGGGGAGGGAGGGGAGGGAGGGGAGGGAGACAACGATTGGGTGATATAGAGTGCGAAGTAATGTTGTATTGCAGTAATTGATCAAATGTAAATAATTATAAAAGGTGAATAGGTAAAGACTAGAAGGAGAGGGAGAGTATGTGAATTACAGAGAGTATACTAAAGTTTACTATGCCTTATGGGCTACTGAAGCGTATACGAGCTTTCAATACTCATATGCAGCAATGTTTTTATTTTCAGTAATGTGGAGCGTATACGTATCGTCAATACTCATACGCAGCAGCAATATACCACCATTATATTCAGTGTAAAGAAAGTAACAATGAAAAATTTAATGATTCTTTGAAAAATCGTGTATAAAAAAATGAAGCCACTGAGGTCCAAAGAACAATTTTCTATAAGAGACATATGAACTATGCGGCCTCTTATGAAGTCTTTTATATGTTATTGAAGGCCTAAGAAGAAGTCACCTATTCTATACGAATAGGCCTATACTAAATTAGGCCTCAAATTTGTTATAGACCCCATATGTGGTCTCCTATTCGTTAGAAGACCTACTATTAGGACTTCCATTCTATTTGAGTCTCCATATGAAGTGTCCGATTTTAAATTATACTACAGATTTATTAGAGGCTCCACATGAGATGTTCCATTTTTTAGGAGATGCATACTATTTGATAAATGGATTATGAGGCCTCCTATTATGTAGTAGTTCTCATATGAGGCCTCTTATTATTTAAAAGACCTCTTTTGAGGCCTCCTAATCTATAGAGGATATCCAATGATATCACTGATACCAACGAAGTCCTTCTATGAGATCTGTTATGCTCTAGAAGACCTCATATGATATCTCCGATAGTAACGAAGCTTTTCTATGAGGTCTGTTAAGATCTGGAAGACCTTTTATGAGGTCTCCTATCCCATATATGAACTGCTATGAGGTATGCTATGCTCTGGAAGACCTCTTCGATACAAATGAAGTTTTTCTGTGAGGTCAGCTATGC